GATCGTGACGGAATCTGTCACAGATTTACAAACACAACAGTAAAGGTTTGCACATATAAATAAATATATTACATTACAAAAGGATGTCAGTAGCTTATCATCCATCCATGCACTCTTATTATATATCGGATTAATGAAACACGTTTGATAATTGTACATACTTTCATTAACTATAATTAACCACTGCCTATAACATGATCTGCTATGAGTCATTCTGTGTTTGTCAGACGGCACAGCTCATGTCCATCCTCGTTTCCACACTGGAAATAAGATACACGTCCGTTACTAAACATCTCTTAAATGAGGTTTTCCGTTTCCTCATGATTTCTGGCGCAGCTCTGTCCTATGTTATCTATACCTATGTATCTGATTTATTTTATTAATTTGCATTTATTTGCAATAAATTTGCCAAGTTTTTCCAATTTTACTTTAAATGTGCTTTTTGATTGAACGTTCGCTGTTGAAAAGGGAACAAGGCTGAAGATGCTGGATGATGAGATGTAAATGTAGACATTGTTTTGTGAACAGCTCGCGGTCTGTTGCATGTGGACATATGGATGAGTGGGCAGATATTTAACGGCGGCGCCTGTTGCTTCACAGTGTTACACAGGAATACTGTGGAACTTGCTGTCATCTGCGAGATCTTGTTGTTATTTTCTATTTCATGCCACAGATTTCCATTGTTGTCTTAAAATCAATAAAAAATCAGCCAGTGTGGTTTATATGGAAACAGCTGTGTGACTGCAGTTTATATAACAGTTCTATAACCTCAAAGAATCTATAACCTTGATCAAATTACTTAGCTGAGGCTGCGTTCCACACAAACACATTTTGGTTTTTAAAACGCATCACTTCGGCTACGTTTACGTCTGGCGTCCGCACTACTCTGTGGTTAGTTTGAGAGCTGTTGGAAAAGGGGAAACTCAGAGCTAACGTGGTGCGTTTTTTGACTAGTGTGACTGTGTGACTTTAGCTTCGCTGGTAGCTCGTGCATCTATTCTTACACCAGCTGAAACTGTCACTGCAGCTGCTCTGACTCTGTTATTTTCTCTCTTTCTTTTGCCTCTTTTATAGTTTCAGCTTCAGTTTCACCTCCTCTGTCTGAGAAATATCTCAGTTTCTCACTTATTCTGTGGGATCCATCCATCCATCTGTTCGTGACTCCACTCTCCTCTTCAGCTCTCTGCTCGTCTTTACTTAAGATTGAAAAACAGTGTTTGTGTCTGTGTGAGAGTTTGACCCTGCTGATACTCCTGCTTCATCGAGTGTCACATATATACATCTCCAGATGTGTGGTGTCTGATTTTAATTCTAACCATCATTTATTTGATTATTTATATTAAGTGAAAGCAAAATAAAAGCATCGGAGAAAAAGTGTTTCACCATCAGTCAAAGCAGAAAACAGGTTTTCTTACTGCTGCTCTCTGAAGTTACATCCAATAACACGAGACAGTGCATTACATTAAGACCAATACATTAGCCTCTTAATATTGACCTTTAATTAAGTCATTTGATTTGACGCATATGATGCAGGTTGATTGATTTCATATTTACTGTCGAATCGATCAATACCACCCCGGCTGTCTATGGGAAGAGTTGATCCTGGACTGAGTGTAATCTAATTGTGTGTTTTATTATTGATAGAAGCAGCATTATGCAGAGTTTCACTGGTATTATACTGTGTGTAAAAAGCTTAAATAAATAAGATGTGTTCAGATATTTCACGCCCTGTGATCTATATAAATATATAAATATAATACCTTCTCTCTGATGATTGACGACTTACCAGAGCTGGATTAACATGACGTAATCAACAATTACTTTGCTATTTATGCATCGCCGCAACTGTCTAATAAACAATCTATTAATCCCGTCTGTGAACCGAACAGGTTTCCAGTCCCTTTGTTTATTTATGGAAAAGGGGCCATTAATCCTGCAGCAGTTTTACTGTGTGTTCATATTAATCGGATGTGAGGAGGGTGAAGCTCATTCAATCAATTCTCTGTTCTCTGGACTGAAGTATCGACTGAAATGCAAGAGACTGAAAGAGGACACACACACACACACACACATATAAAGTCACAGTGTTTGTTGATCTGATATCGTCACATGCACTTCAGTCACAAAAACAGTTACAGACCGACGACATAAAACATGTTCCCGTGGCACAAACGCCCGGAAGCCGAGCAGGTTACGTGTCCCCGAGAATATGATTTGTGCTTTTATGACACGGCTTAATGGAAATTCCCTGTGTGTATGTGTACAACATATGTATGGCTTTGCAGACCTCCAGGCTGCAGCGATGAACGAGATGTAGGGATGAAAAGAAGAGTTACATAACTCCACTGACTTAAATCCACTTTTTTCAGTCAGTAATTTATACGTTCAATGACTTCAAAAACTTCTCTGCTCTATACCAAACATCTGTACGTATATGTGACGAATCTGTAATAAATCTGTGATGTTGACTGGTACTGGCTCACTCTGCTCTGGGTTCACGCAGTTTTCACAAGTAAATTAAGTATTTAAAACACAAGTTAATCAATATTCTTATATTAATAAAATATAGAAATGATCATCCAGCTCTGCAGTTTCCTCTCGGTTCAACGGAGCGTTTCACCGTTACTGTTGGCACCTAATGCTGCTCCGTGTCCACTGGGTGCACACCGGCTAATCTTTGCTAACATGTTAGCCATGTCAACTTTAGGATAATAATTAATCAATATTTATTGATGCGACTTCCACATTGACTTTGCTGCTATTTTTTCTGTTGTACTTTTTTTTGGTTTTATTTTTCTGTGAAGCACTTTGTTAAGGAAAGTGCTATTTAAATAAAGTTATTATCATTATTGTTATTATCTATCTGTGCTCATTGACTTCATATGCTAAATATTCACCTATAATATATATAGAGAACATGTTTTTTATTGCACTTACATTATCTTCTATTACCTTCAATTTTTTTTATTGAAACGTGTATTTATTGTCATTCTCATTATCATAATATCAGAGTTTATTGTTTTTGAACTGATGCTGTTTGTTTTGTACTGCTTGTGTTTTTATGTGTGTTTTTTTATGTCTAGTCTTTGTGTCTTTAAATTTCCCCATGGCAACAAATAAAGTTTCTTGAATTCAATTAAATTAAATTAAATTTCCAGCGTGTTTAGCTGCCAATTCTATGATGCAAGTTTAAGTGAATAAAAGTAAATTATTTCAATCATAATTAAAAACATGGACTATCATTGCTCAAAGGTGCTGCAGCCTCTCGGCTTGTTATTATTTAACAAATGGACAAACAAAATTAAATAGAGTCAAAATAATAGTCAGTGCATAATCGTCCAATTCTGAACGTTTCATAAAACAAAGCCCAGAGTCGAGTTGATTGATCTCCTGACGACAGAGAAGTCTGACTGGTTCTTGTTTTAGACTTTCTTATATTAGATATTAAATCATTATTCATAAGAAGCTGTAATATTGTTATTTAAAATTAAATAATGAGTCGTCACAGTTAAATACTTGTTTCAGGGAAGTTACAACACGACCTCACTGTATCGATGCTGCATCAACGTTTCATGAGAGTCCCTCAAAATAGAAGAAGTGAAGCCTGAAATATCTTTCAAGGCAAGAGGGGAAAAGAGAGGAAGCGATGAGACGCGTCAGACAGGACGGACGGAGCAGAAACAACACCTCTCTCTCTCTCTCTCTCTCTCTCCTGCACCCCCTCTGGTGTTTCTCTCCTTCCTGCTCTGCTCCTCTCAGCCTCTCTCTGCTCACCTATCATGAGCCGTACACTCAACCCTCGTCCTCACTTGCACATCCATAACAATTATTTTTCAGCTCCCATAATGACGCTATGGGACGAAAGCACGGAAATGAAAACTCTTCATATGGCCTTTGAGTAGCGGTGTTCATTTTAGCACCTGTTATCGCTTTCGTCTTAATCTTGGAGGGAAAATGTTGAATTTTAATTTAATTTTTGTTATTTTTCCTCTAGTTTTAGTCAACAAAAGTGAAACACATCTTAGTCTAGTTTTCATCTGTAAAACATTCAGTGTAATTAAACTAAAACCTCAGAAAACATTAACACAGTTCTTTTCCTTTAGCTCACATCTCAGGGAAGATTTATGGTCGCTGACATTAATCCTGGACTCGTTCCCACCCACAGAAACATGAAAGAGAGTGACTGTGAATAAAATTAGGCTTTGATGATGTTATTTTTAAGTTAGTTTACATTTTTACAAATGTCAGCGTGCTACTCTGCAAATTTTGGGTTTGTCCCGGGAGTTATTTTTTGCAGTTAATGTATTTCAGTGGGTCCTAAAATGCGAAATGGTGCTAATTAGTGCAGCAGGTCTCGTAGCTTAATCAATCTCAGAAGAAACTGTTTTACTAATCGGGACGTTATCGATTAGCTCGTCATTGTTCCTGAGTTCAAACCTCGATTTATGGAGCATTTGCATCTTTTGAGGCAGGAGGACAGACGTCATCCAGATATAACTGTTGTCTGATGACTTCTTACTGTAAACAGATTAAAATGGGTCCAACACTGGTTTAAAATGAGCCTTTTAACACATCCAGCGTCGGGGCAACGGCATTTCAACAGAACGCACAAAAGGCTTTTTAATCCCACCCTTCACCTCCATCACTCCTCCTTCCTCCCTTCATTATTCATCCAGCACGGCCGCTGTCACGCTCTCTCGCCCTCCCTCTCCCTCTCTCTCCCTCAGTGACATACTGGACTACATGAATGAGCAAACACAAGGAGCTGGAGTTTCCTCAAGGACATCCAGAGCCACGCAACCACTTAGAGCACTTCTGTAACCTAATAGTGTCAGACAAAATGAGTCAGGAGATCATCTGATGGCAGCCAGGCGATGAATCACATCACTCTGTGAGTGTGTGTGCAAGGGGTGTGTTTAGTGTAATTGGCAATATTTACTAAGTATTCTCCAATTTGGATAATTTGTGTGTGTGTGTGTGTGTGTGAGTGTGTGTCCTACCGTCTTCGGGCAGTGGACGTATCGAGCCAGGCTGATAATTAGGTCATGTGTGATGGGGTCAACCAGGTTCCTGAAGCTGGCGTAGCGGTACAACACGTCATCCAGGGACGTTGACTCCATGCCCAGGTCCTACACACACACACACACACATTAAATAAGACACTCTTATCCTTACTTACACAACTGCTCGTACACTACTTATATAAGCAACATTCATACAGGCAAGACAAACTATTTATATACCAAATTTCATACACATGGGAGAACTCGATGGGTTTTCATTAAAGTGAAAAGACAGAACAAACACAGTAAAGCACAAAAACTGCTTAATGGCTAAAATAAATCAGTGATTATTGATAACACACCACATATTTTTTTTCCTTTACAGGCAATCATAAAATTGTACACATTCATCCAGGCACATAGGAGCACAACCCATACACATAAATCCCTTCTGTGCGAGTGCAAGCCAGAATTTGAAAAAGGCTTTTACATTTTCCATGCTGCTTTGCAAACTCGCTGACCCCCTGAAGCATTAAATAAAAGCCTGTCTGACTGTCTGTGCTTTCTGATGAAGGAAACTGAACATTTGTCACATCTCAAGCTCTATCAGAGCCGACCAAGCATAAACCTGTTGGCAGAGCTTCACGCGTGAACGCCGGTCTTGTTAACTCTCAAAAAGTCAACGTGAGTGACAACTTCGCTTAAAAAAAAAAACATACACAGACACGGGAGAGGATTACACCAGAGCAGTTAAAGCTATTTTGAGATATGAGCAATATAGCCTTACACCGTTTTCCCCTCATGATCCATTATAAGCATCTCAAAAACTTCTATTGTTTGGAAACTGTATAAAAATCACATTAACAGCCGTGAAAAGCTGCAACGCACAGCAGTGGGACACGAATGTAAAGTTAGTCCTGAGTGTGGGAGTAAAGGGAAGGTCACGCGCTCCCTCGGTAGCGTGAATGTGCTTAATTCATGACAATCCACCAGTTGAATTATGAGAAACATTTTGTCCTCGCTCATGCAGTATGCAAAATGGAAAGTGTATCCTCTGGGGGCCATGAATGTGGACAGTAAAAGTCTGGGCAATCTGCCACTTTAAATATTGACTTTTCTAAAATACAAGTGGAAAATGTAGCTTGAGGCTGGCACAACAGAAGAAGCTGTGATCACCAAAAGGATCTTGTGTCTTGTTTGGTGATTTTTAGCCATGCTAGCATCGGGGATCTGTGGATTGGAACTAATGGTTTAACCTAAAATTTTATACAGATATTCACAGTTGGATGAGATGTAATGTCTTTGGTGATCTGCCTACACTTCGTCTAACAAAAATTTTAATTTGTCTTGTACTTTAGCTTATACTTAAAGGAGCTATATGTTAGTTTTCTCTGCTGCTGAACATGGTTTTTGCGTGAGGAGCAGGTGGTGATGACTGTCGCATGACAAAAGCTTCAGAGGTCGTTGCTTTTATAATAAAGGAGCTAAAAATAAGCTCTCAGAGCAGCGAGTTGCTGTTAGCATGCTAACACGCTAAATTAAGCCAGTGAACATGGTACACATAATTCCTGCTTCAATATCAGCATGTTAGCATTGCCACTGTGAGCACATTAGCATGCTAATGATTTTAGCATTTAGCTAAAACTAGCACTGTATCAAAGAGGAGCTTGACTTTCTTCAGCACCTTTTGATTTATACGATTAAAAAAAATTTATGATGAACTCACAAACACACACACACACACACACACACTTAGCTAGGTGTTTACATACTGTGTTATTCAGATGATATGTACTGTCTGCTCCGACACAACAATCTGTATATACAATATGTAATGGCTCTCCTTTTCTAGCTGCACCACTATTCTTACTGCTATTGCCAGTGAAACACTTTCTGGACCAATGTGTGTGTGTGTGTGTGTGTGTGTGCGTGCATAAATGCATTTTAGTCTGTAAGGTAAGTGCATGCAGAGTGTCTGCAGATATATTTTGTGTGTGTGTTTGGGTTTGTTTGTGCAGACAAATTGAAAGCCAGTTAAGTGGCAACAGGGCCAATGGTCAGAGAGAGAGAGAGAGAGAGAGAGAGAGAGAGAGAGACAGAGAGACAGAGAGAGAGAGAAAGAGAGAGAGAGAGAGAGAGAGAAAGAGAGAGAGAGAGAGAGGGAGATGCTCAGTCTCCTACAGAAAGGTATGACTCACTGAGGTTTTCATGCAGCCTATTGTTCTGCGTAGGAGGGGCAGTAAATTATGACAGCAGCATTGACTGAAACACACACACACACACACACACACACACACACACACACACACACACACACACACACACACAAATCAGCTGCTGCATTTTCAGAAGAGAGCAAAAATATTAATAGCAACGCAGCAGATGAGAGAAACCTATGATTAGTCTATTAACAGGTGAGGTGACCAGGACTCACACAGTTTCCAGTTGAGATCACACAACTGAAATTATTTCTGCTCGTGTCCCGTCACCCTCCGATGGAAGGAGCCCAGGAGGCATCAACCACCTCAACTGGCTCCGGAGCAGCGGCTCTACTCCGAGCTCCCTCTGGATGTCAGAGCTCCTGACCCGACGACCAGCATCTCTAAACTTTATCAATTAACGTGTCGTGTCTTGTTTGTTTAATGTTTGCACAAATGAAAGTGTAAAAACCGAACGCTGTGGTTTTACTGTGAGTTTTGTGCTGGAATGATTTGCTGAGCAGATTTTTTTAAACTCTGGACTCTCCCGTGTTTTCCCCCGCTGCTTCCTGTCTTTATGCTAATCTTAAACTGACTGGCTGCTGCCTCATATTTAGCTCCAGACATGAGAGTGGTGCAAGTCTGTTTGTCTCACTCTCAGCAAGTGAAAAAGCCTATTTCCTACAACGTACAACTAGTTAAAGTTACAGTTTAAATGACCAATGACAATTTGAATTTGTTTCTTGTTTTTTTAAGATATAAACCATAATAATAAATGTTTAACACTGGGATGCTTTTCAAGAAATTTTCATTTCATTCTTTAAAAAATGACACTGAGCAATACAGATCATTTCTCTCTCTCTCTCTGTGAGCGTGTGTGTGTGTGTGTGTGTGTGTGTGTCTGTATGTATGAGGGTGAGTCAGAGGAGCACACAATGTGTTTTTCCACATACTGTGATAAGGATTTGATGCGCTATGCAAATAGATCAACAATGAATGGAGATTAATCTTTCAGTTCGCTCCAATCTGGACCCAAACATGGTGATGTTTACAAAGCAACAATTAACCTGCGCGCGTGTGTGTGTGTGTGTGTGTGTGTGTGTGTGTGTGTGTGTGTGTGTAGGTCTGCAACAGTTAAAAGTAAAAGACTGTAGAACAAATTGAAAAAAAGGGAGAACGAACGACATAAAAAGTAATCACCCTCCAAAAAAAGCCATATATTATTAACAGTGGCTCCTCATGAAATATACATGACAAAGACAAAATAAAAATGCACAGTCTACTCCCTTGAACTCTGAGGGCATATAGTGGTTCAAGTGTACACACACACACACACACACACACACACACACACACGACAATTTATGCCATGAGGAAAACAATGTGGGCTTTTTCTTTCATTAGAAAGAACCACCCACACTAATTAGAGCCGGTCAACATCAAAGCCGTGGCCTGAGCCGAGCTGAACATGAACAAAGACGGAGCTGGAGACAAACACACGACGCTCAAGTGCCGCCTCTTTGGCAAATAAGAGGAAATGGCGCCCGGGGGCAGGAGGGATCCATATATGAAGCTGATATTGACCTTTAACAACGATCACAGACGGTGTCATCCACCTCTGATGTTATGGAGGTTATTTAATCATAAATGAATGAAAATTATTATTATTAATATTTTTATATTAAAGGTCTAAGAGACAAAAGCTTCAGGTTGTACATCTCAAGAAGTAAAAGCCCTTGAGTGATAGCTTTTTTAAATTATTATTATTATTATTTTACATAAAATTAAACAAAGTACTGCTTCCTGTCTGAGCCGTGTGCAGCCACACAGGTGTCGTCACTCTGGCTGATTAGAGCTCCTCTCAGGCTGAAGCAGGGAGGAGCCATGCTGGGACACCAAACAACATGTAGCCGACTAATCATGGCTGAATTAGAACAGCTGGGTATTGTACAGCAATATCATTCAATTTAACATAACTTCACTCACCGAGGAAGAAAAAAACCTTTGCCAGGAGACATGACGACTTGTCATAGGATGAAAAACACAGGTGGAATAAATAAATAACTGGTTCTTGTTGCCTCAGTGTCGTTTAAAGCTCGTCTGTGGGGTGAAAGGCTTTTTTGCTGCAGCACTGACGGTAGCTCTCTGTGATTGTTACTGCTAAGAACGACAAAGGTGCAACTTTTCCTGCCCTCACACTGCTTTGGTGGCTGCTTTGTTGTGACATCACAAAGTTACAGGAAGTCCTGACGGCTGGTTTGAAGGCTCAGTTTCTGAATACAGGCTGTGTGCATTTCTCTGTGGACTGAGGCTTTGATACTTTCACAGTATTAATATAGAAGCTAGACCTGATCTATAATCAAACTACACATGGACAGAGACCTTTACACTGGATGGGACATTTAATTCTTTAACCTGAATTAATTTGGAGTTAGAATATGGTACAAAAATTGACTAAAATAAAATGTAAAACTAAAACAAACATAATGAAAAATTAATATTCTTTTCACCATCTCATCACCATCATGTCAATTTACTGAGAAGTATTTTTTTATTATTCTATTTCAGCAGCTTCTACATCACAGTGGCTGTCCCTTAATGTTGGTCACTATAGGTGCATTTCCATTCACCAACATAATTTGAAATAGCGAACTTAAAAACAAGTAATGGAAACACATGAATTTTGAAAAGAAAGAAAGAAACACAGCGGCATGAGCTGGTTTTTCAGACTATTCGACAAAGCAAAATTTTCCAAAATTGAAATGGAGACACGAGCGGTGGCGCCTGTTGCATCATGCCCCAGGAAGCCAGGTCGAACCGAGAGGCAGCCTGTCGTAGAAAACCTCGCATAACATCCCTCAGTGGAAACACACACCATGTGTTTTGTCAAGTTTTTCTAAAAAAAACATAAAAAATTAAAATCGCTTCACCTCTGTGTCTCAGTAACTGTCACATCAATCAAATCTCAAAAACATGCCCCTCCTCATCAACAGGTGTCAGTCGTCAGGTTAAAAACCAGCGATTCACAACGTTGGTGAATCCAACTTGTACAAACAAGCCTCACAGAAAAAAGCAGCAGGGATTTAGAATCAGAATATGACGCCCAGCGGCTTTCAACAACAGCCATTGGCCAATGGCAGCTTCAGTCTCGACCACAACACAATATCCTCTCATTATCTGACAACACACCGATCACACGCCATAGGATGAGTTAAAAAATCTCATGTAGCCGCAGACAGCAGCCTGGAGACAGCTGAGGGAACCACTGAGGATAAATCTAAGGCCCATGCAGGTTTCCAAAGACACTGTTGGTTCTTGTGAAGCGATCAGCTCCGAGGCAGCAGCCGGGGGGTGGAGGGATGCTGGCTTTGGTTTCAAGTTAATTGAAGGGCGGTGATTAAGAAGGTGGCCTTCCCATTAGCTCTTAACAGAGCTCCTGCGTGATTAATCAGTGTCTGTTTAGTCTGAGCTCTCCGGCCATCGCCATGGTTTCCAGGAAACAAAGAGGAGAACCTGGTAACCAGCAAGGAGTGAGTCTCACATCTTTCACACGCTAGCTGTCTCTCTCTCATTTCTCCTCCTTTTCTTTCCCAAGTAATCTCTTCTAATGTCTCAGTAATCGCTCTCCACCTCTTCCTCTCTCTTCCTCCTCCTCCTCCCCAAACACATTTTTGTCTCCTCTCTGCTCTCTTTATCCTCAGTAATTGTCTTTATCCAATTCATCATGTGGTCTGGTCGTCCTGTACCGCTCTGCCAGAGGACAATCTCTCCAGAATAGGACGGCAAATGTGACTGATGGGTTTGTGACTGCAGTCCAATTTTGCCTTCATGACCCAACATGAAAACCTGTTATCATCTGCAGTGTGTCAGTACCTTTGGGAGAGAAAGAGGCAAATATGAAGCAACACATGTTGTTTTCATCCTTCTCAGTCCGTCCGGCTCTCTGCTGATAAAAAAAACAACAAAACAAAGGATTCACATTCATCTAGTGAATCTACACATTGTTAACTATGACCCAGCTGAAGTGCGTCACGCTTGTCGTTTACTTTTCCATTAATCCCCAGCTTCACAAACAGCAAGAAAAAATCCTCCAGAGGTCGGAGGAGCTTGACCCATCGCCCTGATGGATCAAAGCGAAACCATGTCGACTCCCGTTTACACCACAAATAAATAACACTGTCCAGTTCATCGTGTGAAGAAGGGACATGCTGATGGGACAAGGAAATATCTTAAGTATGTAAATGATTTACAAGTCGCTTGATGAGAAGAAGTCCACTAAGTGCTGATAGAGGCTTTATAGCTCACCACAAATCTCCCGGTGGCTGTATCTGTGTATCTGCTGCTGTAATGGAGGTTCAGTGGAGAGTGGCTGTTTGCAAATAACGCCTAAAATATGTTACGGTGAGGTTACATAAAGGGAGATACTTGAAACAGCCAAGAGGTCTGTCAGCTGTTCTCTTCAGATGAGCCAAAATACAATAATAGAAAAAAAAATATATCAATCACATGTACTTGAAAACAATGCAGCTCATTCTGTCAAATGGAAACACTCAGTAAAAAGAAGTGTTTTATTTTTAAGCACATTTATACTACTGGTATCTGTGCTGATTGTAAATGAGTGTTGCACCTCAATATTCAGAGTAAAGCAGTAGCTCGGAGTCAAATCTTGTTTTCCTGTTCTTTTATCAGATGAAATGTTTTGCTATTGCTACATAGCTAACGTTAGCATTATTTTTGTTTTGCTTCTATTGCCATCCCTTCTTTTCTTCTACTGACGTTAGCATGCTAACCAGCTAACCACTAGCCCGTCTTATAACTTTCCGATAGCGAGTCACTGTAGTGTCCAGTCTGCCTTGAAGAAGTAGCGCTGCTCAGACGACGAATTTTAACCTCTTGTATTGTAAACGCAACGATGGCTGAAGCTCTTGCAAAGACTCGTAAGCAAACAGCTGTTGATGCTATCGTTAGCTATTTAGCAATAGCAAAACTTACAAATAGCTCCTTTTAAAGTACTGAAAAATGTATTGCTCTGGCACCAATACAAATACTCAGATACTGAACGTGATAGATTGCTTCATAAGTCCAGGTTCAGGTTTACAGTCATTTCCACACATATGTTTAACATTAACATTCTTACTTTAGCAACATTAGCAGCAACGACTTGGATGTAAACACGGATTTCCTCGTGTTAAATTTGCATGATTGAAGTCGTCAGCAGTGTTGATGAGGAATGTGTCTGCTGACCGCTACAATAACAACAGCGATGAACTCCCTCAACATATAATATGGCCGCCACTTAATGACTGTAAACTCCATCAGCAGAGCACAACGTTTGGACACAACCACAGCGCTAGTGCACCTTTCCTCAGGGAAATAAAACACACTGACACCCATCCAACCAGGCAGCAATGATTCCCTGTCGTTTTGAGTTAACCCGTCCACCTCGATGGCCGTGTCCATGATGTTGCTGCGAGGCCACGCTCCAATGAAAACACAGACGCAGCCGCTCCTCATTTCACGCCGGGTAATCCATCGTACTCACTCTGCCAATCTGCAGAGTATCATGGCGGCCGTAGCTCAGTTCTGCTGCATAAAAAAGTGCACATATAAAAAGACAAAAGCACCAAAAGATTTGGTCCACGTGAGGCTTTCCATGGCAACCAAAGGTGTTTTTAGATGTACTTTTGAACTGTCAGGCTAGCTGCTGTGCTAAGATAGGCTAACACCTACTAGCTCCAGCTTTGATTGGACGCACAGATACTATTAAGGCATCTATTTTCTTATCGCACTCCTGAAAACAAAGTGATAAACTGCAATTTTTTTTTTTTTTTTTAAACTGTCTACTTTCTGCTGATTGGCCAAACAATGAACTGTCTATTTTTCCGCACTATACGAAACATAGACTTTTAAAAACTATCTTTTCATCCATGTTTTTTCACACAGAACCTGTGCTGAGTGGGAGGGACTGTAACCACACTGCTGCGTTGTTGTGTCTCAGATTTCAGACTGGAAACTGTGGTTCTCCTCTGGGGTATCATGGCTTAATGAACCAGCGGCAGAGATGGTAAATCCCTCGGCCCTAATGATGATGGATGGAGAGGTGTCCTTCATCTTTAAGCCTGTTTGCTTTGCTCCACGGTTTGCCATTGGTTCGTGGATTAACGACCTAAATGGATTTGATTAGAAAACTGTAAATAGTAACAGAAAGGAACTGATGGAAATCTCCGAAGCCCTAACAATACACTGTAAAAGCAGTGTGTGTGTGTGTGTGTGTGTGTGTGTGTGTGTGTGTGTGTGTGTGTGTGTATAAGCCAGGGGCGCTGTTCCCTGTGGTTGAGTCATAGGGGGATAAACCGTGAACGTTGGCAGCTTATGGATAATGTAACGTCATCTATAGAGATGAGTGCTCATAATCCTATCTTCTTCAGCTCATCTTCGTTTCCTTCTTATCTCCATAATAAACATCTATTCAAATGAGCTTCTCATAATTTCACTTCTGTTTCACCCAGTTCTTCCCTTTCTTTCTAGCTTCAATTCACCTACTGGCATTTTAATTTTTCCTGTTTCCCCTTTTGTTTCCCACCTCACCAGATTCTTTCTGTCTGCTGGTAAGTTTTTCCTCCTCTCTGCAGCAGCAGCAGCAGCAGCAGCAGCAGCAGCCAGGCGCCACAAACATCTTGAAATACAGAGGCTATAAATTGTAGGAGTCTCCACACTGAACCGGTGCAGCAGAGGAAGGCTGAGCACCACAGGTCCACCCAACCAGCCAGCCAGGGGTTATTGTGTTCAGTCACAAAGACAGAGAGGTGGTCAGTCAGTCAGTCAGTCAGTCAGTCAGGTTAGTCAGCGTGTCAACAGTCAGTCAGTCTGAGCATCAGTGATGACATCGACTGAGGGAGAAGCTGCACGCTCTCAGAAGAGAAAGGATAAAGGAAGGAAAGCAGCCAAATCAGGATGTTGTGATCTTACTGTCTAGAAATGTGAACCTGTGACTCTTCACAGCTTTTACTCTCATCACACACACACACACACACACACACACACACACACACACACACACACACACACACACACACAGCAGCTACCTGTCGGAGTGTCTTCAGCATCTCTGTGGCCTCGTCCTGTTTGCCCTGCTTGGCCATCAGCATCATCTCCTGGATCATGCCGATGCGCCGCTGGTAAGGCGGCGGCGGCGTCCCTCCACGGCTCAGCCGGTCCCCTGACTTAAGCATGAGGGACGCCAAGATGTCTCCCCGCTCCTTGGTGGGCGTCCTCTTCCAGCTGTGCTGAGGGCTGGCTCCTCCGGGCTCCTGGCCTTTGGTCTGCTTGGCCCCCATGGTGCTGCGTTAATGTGAACTGTGGCGATAGCTAGACTGGTCCCACCGAGCAGGCGAGCAGAGGCAGGTTTGGTTAATGTTTGAGACACTTTGTGCATTAAAATGTCTGCAGCTGATCACATCTTCATGAAATCTGCAGTCTGGGGCTGAGACCTGAAGCAAAGCAGATTCAAAACTGCTTATATAAAAATGTTCATGTCACTCAGTTACACAGAAGAGCAGAGGTTTGAAAAGAGTAGAAAAACAAAGCTCCAAAACAATAACAAGTAGCTGTGGTAGTTTTTCTGCTTTGGGGAACTTGTAAATCCTGGAGAGTGAAGCTCAAGTCGGGAACAGGTCTGAGGATGCTGCCTGCAGCATGGCCGCAGAACAGCAGAGTCAGGATGCAGGATGCCTACAGTGGAGACCGTGGCCCGCCGCAGCTTCCTATCCCAACACAACTTCAGCAAAAATATTTACCTTCGACAGCAGCGCGACGATCTGTCCTCACTCCCCTCTGCTGTTATCCTTCAAAACACAGACCTCCGTCCTGGACCAGAGGAGGAGGATGAGGAAGAGGAGGAGGAGGAGGGAGGAGCGGATCGGGGGAAGTGGTGCATGAAGCAGGGCATGGCAGTGTTTACGTCTCCTGTAGATCACCACGGACTGCCCCGTCCTTCCTCAGCCGCTGGAAGTCCTGCGTTTACCTGCAACAAACGGCGGCGTCTGTCCTTCTTCCAAGGTTGATCCTCCGGAGCGGGGAACAGCCGCATCCGCGCCTCGGTCCACGGGGCTGCGTGTGTTTGTGCGTGTGTTTGTGCGCGTGTGTGCGTGTGTGGAGGGGCTGCAGATCCGCGGCTTGACACAGGAGGGTAGAGACTGTGAGGTGTCCCCTTGCTGGGACTGAATTATGTATCGCACCCTCTGTTCAACTGAATGGGGGCGCGCGGCGAGTGCACGTGAGCAGAAACCCTCCCTCCCATACCGGCGGGGGGGGGGGCACGAGCACAGTCAACTTTGCAGTTTCTTAGCTCCTGCACATGACGCCCTGTCTGCTGTGGGAAGGCGGTGCACCAAAGTCCATTAATAAATATGTCATTTTAGTGTTGCGTTGCTCATTGGCAGAGATATGTAGATGTTGTTAAGATGACGCACACCTCTTACAATCCTGTTTAGTCTTCCCTTAAAATCGGCATGAAGCTCATCTTCAAATTATCAGTTTCAATAATCGATTTTAACTAATTTAATTCACGTTATTGGCTATCTTATTTTGGCGGAAGTCGACCAGAAAACCTGCAAAACTACAGTTTAACCTTATAAATAGGCGACCTTTTCTGCAGCGTTGAACACTGGGAGCAAACGTACTAATTTGTAAATGGCCTCCAGTGTCACTGTGTCTCTGCAGATAATTAATTAATTTTAAACCGACTGATTTTCCTATCAAGTTCGGTCTTTGCATGGAGGAGAAGAAGAACCTGTTTATTCAAAGGGCGAACATCAAGCCAGGATGAAGTCATGGATGTGGTTTCATTTCTAGTAGATGCATATGGACGAGTCAGTTTTAATATAAGAGATCACGTGAAAATGATGCGTAATATAATATATATTACATTATTATAATATAATAAGTTTGCGTTCAATGCAGTAAATGTGATGATCACATGGCACACATTGGTGATTTATATGTGCCAGTGATCAGGGAAAGTGTTTCAATGACATCTGGTGGTGGTTGTTGGGAATTCATTCATAAACAGTAATTATCCTGCGGTTAAAATACAACAAAATATATCCGTAGTCAGAAGATGAACTACATAAACTGACTCATTATATAAATGTTAAATGTTTAAAAAATAATAAATATTAATCCAAGCAGGATGGATTAAGATTTAATAGATTTTTTCCTGCTGCTCTCCAAGTGAGTAAAATACAAACTTAGACAACAAATATCCGGATGTATTTTTCAAAAGGTATATTTATTTGTTTTGCCTTTAATTACATCTCTATTTACAGTAGTATTTCAACCATCATAGTTTCTTCAAATCACTTATCAAAACAAAAAATTTTATTTTATTTTCTCACGTCACCAGTGAGAAATTTTTTCGGCTCAAAAACTTTTCTTGCTGGCGGAGTCAAACAGTCGGCCTTAAACAAAACACATCCAGCTTATGTGAACAGGATGAAGACGTCATTCTGGTCTTTACATGGATCAGGCTGCAGAGAGGAAGATGAGTATGTCACACTCACTCACTCACACACACACACACACACACACACACACTTCTCTCTCCTTAGCCACAACACCGGCTGCCAACTGCTTGGTTTAATTACTTTATGGTGTGCTGTGTTAGCTATTCAAAGACAACTAAGACCTGACCCTCATGTCCTTTCCAGGAAGGGAAGGACTCACATTTGGCCGTGAACACATGCACTACTGAGGATTCAGCCTTCGTTGCCTTTTTCTTTTTTTGTTTTTTTAGACTGATCTTTCACACCACTGAATCACAGTGGACGTAAATAGAAACACTGATCAAGAAAACTTTGTACTTGTATGTCAAAGAGGAACCAGATCTCTATAAAAAAAAAAAAAAAGATCAAAATTAAATACAAATATAAAACACATTAAGTATTACTTCATTTCCTGTGACACACTCACAATTATCACTGGAGCAGTCACATCGTTATTTGAATGGAGACCACTGGGGTTTAGTCAAGGTGTGACACACAATATCAGGGTAAATAAAGCCGTATGTGGAGAGTTTAACAGCTTGTAACAACGACATCATGAAGACAAGAGACGTCTTCAAACAAATCTGTGACAGGTTTATTAAAAACTTTACACTTTGCAAATTAAAGGATATGTTTTATGTTAAGACAAAAGGCCCCAGCATCAATCAACCATTCCCACTATAAAACTGCGCTCACATCACGATGGAGTGAATGTAACTCCAGGTTTCCGACTTAATGTCCAAGTCATAATAACGACAGAAAGTTTTTAACGAAAGATCCACGCAGGGTTTAAAGATACGCAAGTACCTGAAAAATAAACAAACATGGCTACTGTCCAACGTTCAGTGTAATTAAACTTATAACTTAAATTAAACATAGTGTTATATCATTAACATGCAGTACTTTTAACCCTCACAAACCAACTCTTGTCATCATACAACCATCTTGAGTTGTCCTTCGATGTGAACGTTCACAAGTCGCAAACACGTCGCAGACAACATCTCTGCTATGAACGCAGCATAAAGCCTGGTGGTGGCAGCAACAACACTAACGCTGTGACGTGGATAAATGTGATGCGTCCTGACAGAGAGGAAGGAGTTTTACGCTCATGAATCGGGGGGAAAAATCTGCAGCGTTCAGGTGCACGAGGCTCACAGAGAGACCTCGCCACACAGGCTCCAGGTTCTTACTGCTGAAATTACTGTTATATTATATTTATCACTTCTGGTCATTTAAAGAGATCTGAATTCACTTTGATATTTAAGAGTCTTTTCCTGTTGATCAGTGTCAAACACTGTGGTTCAGTGCTGTAAGACATAAATACTTCCGCACTGTCACCGGCCCAGAGTTCAATCAGACGCTCCACAGAGGTCCGACTTCACTAATGAGTGGTAGGATCGTTTTTGTCACGTGTGATGTTTTGATCAATCCCAACGAGAAGGTCGTTATGGAGGGAGGCGTGTCGACGTGTGGTTTGAGTGATGGTGGCTCTCTGGTTGATTTGAAGTAAGCTCAGCTGGAGGCGCTGCTCGTTCCATGACCCCAAAGCTCAGCGGGGATTTCTCCCGCTGTAAAGCCAACCTACTCTACGGATCAGCTACTCCGTGCAGAGCGTGTCCGGCTCCGCTCGGCAACATTAACTCCCCTCCCTGCCTCCCAGGTGTCTTCCACTAGGACTGTGCATGTCTCTTCAAACACGACACAGGAGTGAAGGCGCATCGACTTTATACACTATATGATTTAATGACATACTGCTGTTTGGGTGCACTGACGGAAAGAAAAAAGGGGGCGAGGTGGGCCTGCGTGCGGATGATCTAGAAAAACACTGTGTTTTCCCTTCGCATTAACCTGACTCGCGCTAGTCTTATGCTGAGGGCTGAGGCAATGTTACAGAGGAAGGACAATTCTAGACAACCCAGGCACGTCCCCAGGTGGCAGGTGACTAATCGCAGTTAGAACGTGTAGCCAGCGGGGGGGGCTTTGTCGTCCTTGTTGCTCTCCAGGGAGAAAGGAGGAATGCGAACATCGAAGTGGGAGCCGTCAGTCCTTTCGATACGAAACGTCCCCCTGAGCACAAACAGGAAAGATGAGTGAATACCTGTGCTGATAAATCCAGTACATCACAACGTTAAGAGAGAGACAGGAAGCGTGTAAGAGTGAGCTGATGAGTGAAAGAGTAAAACTCACCACATGTGACCACTGGGGGCTTGTAGAGACACGTGGCTGCTGTACTGAAAGGCTGGCTGCTCTTTAGACAACACCGGCTCCTGCGAGACACACACACACACACACACACACACACACACACACACACACACACACACACGAACACGGGCTTCAGTTCCTCCAGATGTCGCGTTTCAAGACACAATCTTTGCATCTGTCGGCATCTACGGTGCTTCACCAGGTAACGGCTCGGCTGGTCTAGAGTCAGGTGATCTCAGCGTGTTGTTATGCCTCCACGTCAGAGTCAGAGGCTTTATGTTTCCATATGTCCGATTCTAATGAACGTGATATCTCAGTAAGGCTTCAAAATTGGGCACAAACATTCCCTGGCACTTACAGATGAACTGATGAGATTTTGGTGTTCAAAAGGTCAAAGGTCAAAGATCACCGTCACCCCGTAAAACTCATGAATTCATGCACTAATCATGACTCAATTTCTATGAAGATAAAATGAAGTGATGACAATTTTCAATTTTTATCCAAATGGTCAAAGGTCAAATTCGCTGTGATGTCATAATGTTCTGCAAAAACACCTCTGACCTTTGTTCAATGCTGTAACTCAGAGAGGGGAGATCGTGACCATGTTTCCTGCAACTTTGGCTGGTTGGCAGAAGGATACAACCGCGAGGTGGTGGTTCTAGCTTAATGTTGTCGTCAGAAAGGATAATGTGTGTGTGTGTGTGTGTGTGCGTGTGTGTGTGTGTTCTGACCCTGCCTACGACGCCTCGACCTCTGACCGTCTCCAGGGTTCCTGACAGGCTGAAGATCCTCCAGTGTCTCTCTCTCAGCTGAACCACCTCGTTGCCCATGTTCTCCAGACGGATACAATATCGCCACTGTCGGGAAAACACACACACACACACACACACACACACACACACACACACACACACACACACACACACACACACACACACACACACAAATGTGTTAATACTCAGAGTCTGCTGGGACAGGCGGGGTTAATAGCCTCCATGAATTGAACCACTCCACACGATGTTCCCCACAGATAAAACTACGTCACTCACCCAGTAAACATGGGAGTTCTGGGCCTCCTGAGAACAAGAAAGTAGTTCCATTAGTATTTGAATGGACGACAGAGAGGCCAAGTAGCGGCGTGACTCAGGATGTGCTTAAGGAAGGCGGAACAGTAACTGAGTTTTTAAAGTATTATTAGTTTACCCTCATGCCCATGTAGAAGGGGATGACGGTGACTCGGATGTTCTCGGTGGTCTCCCTGTGGACGTCTGAGAGCTCCAGCCAGGGGTGGTTTTTCTCCTGCCACGCCTTCAGAGTGTCTCTGGCTGTGAACGGAGGAGCTACAGGCGACGAGGACGAAACACACAAATATGTAGAATATAAAATCTCTTTCTCGTGAGCTACGGAGCCTGTAGCCGCTCTGAACCAACGGTGAATCTACATGTGACAGTTTTTTGTTTGTCTTGTTTTCTGTTGTCTTTTATTCATCCGACATCTACATGGTGTCATCTTTGCAGAGATTTAGGGCTTATAAAACCAATATTTAACCTGGAAGAACATATTGTTATGACTCTACGAGATAACAGTGACATTAGTGATGGAGTGGAGGCTGTGGGAGTGCGTTTACATTTGGCAGGGTTGTACATGAGGAAGCGCTCAAACAGCTCGTGCTGGATGGGGACCTGCTCTGTGGAGTTATAGGGCAGGATGTCTTCATGGCTCACGTAGTCCAGACCTGAAGAAAACATGAAAACACACACACACACACACACACACACGCAAACAGATGTGGATGAGACTGAACAATTACAACCAACTGAAAGGAGAGTTTCATATTCTACGGAGCTAAACAGCTGACGAGGAACAAACTCTGTGTGAGGCGAGAGTTGAGATTAACGCTGAGAATCTGAATGTTTTCAAAAGTGGAATTGACAAACTGGGAGCTTTTTCTCATTTCTCATGAAAGCCACCTATAGTAATGTGTGGCCGGCGTGTCAGTGATGCATCAGTGAAGTCTGTGTAAGGTTGGGTACCTGGGATGGCGTACAGGGCTCTGCTGTCGTCATGGTTGGCCAGAAACGTCACGGCCTCTGTCTGAGACCTCTGAGACTGAGAAACACAAAACAACAACAGTCACACAACGGCTGACTCAGACACTAATGAACAGCCGCAGCTAGATCCTACCACAGTGACGGCTTTGTCACTTTAATACATCTCCAATCATTGTCCACAACATTTGACAACCTCTCCAATCGTATCTGTCCAACATCCATCATCAGTCCTCTTATGTTCCTGTAAGTTAACAGGTTTGAAATGTCTAACTAGTCCCACAAATAAACGAATAAATTGCACTTTATTCGTCATTTTTGGGTAAAAATGATCAAAGCAAAGAGTCAGTGTGTGAGATCTAGACTGGTGACTGTGTCTAACTAACAAGCGGCTGATACAGGAAAAACAAGCAGCCTTCTCCTCCAGACAGAGGCTCGTGTGTTGAGAGCAGTGACTCAGTATCAGAGCTAGACTGAGAAATGACCAGGCCAATATATAACATGAGCTCCCGGCAGATTGATCAGTATTATTTAATATGTAGGTTGATAATTAACGAGAAATCGTGAAGATATTAGGAAACTGTTTAGTTTGTCCATCAAAGAGTCGTGACAAGTTGATTTTTACACTGAGTTTACATGAATAATGACAAAATACTAATTACTGAAATCATCTGAACTTGCTTTCTCCCTCTAAAACATCTGATACATGTGTCTGAGATGTGAGGTAGCAGTTGGTGGTCCTAAAGGAAAACTACAGTAACTTACTATGTGAGGGCAGTCCCTGGTGTCAATCAAGACTTGGTAGTAGGTGTGAGTCTTGCCCTTCACCTCCTTGGACCCGTGGGCTCCCGGGGGCTCAGGTTTGCTGAGGGAAGAAAAGAAAGCAAGTCAGAGACAACGGGATCTACGTTATGAACAGTCTCCCACACAAACAGAGCCTATAAGAGCCCGATGGTCCGGCCTGCAGCCAGAGACGGAGGTTTCACCTGTCAGACATGGGAGGGGTGATGTCTCTGTCATAGAGCCGGGCGTGCCAGGGAAACAAGACGATGCCTCTGTAGCCAAACACGCTGTGGAGGAAGAGCTGAGGAGAGCACAACAACAAGGAGAGAGGGGATAAGTCGATGTGGGATTACGTGTGTAGGAGGTTTAATAAAGCATAAGTTAGATGGGATTACAGTCGGTCGACTGGATCACGCACAAACTTACTCATTTATCAAAACTTAAATACACACCACGCAGTGCAGTAATACTCCAAAACAAGTCTGAAACTGACCTAAATGATTTGCTGTAGAATGTGTGTGTGTGTGTGTGTGTGTGTGTGTGAGTCTTACTTGTCCCGTTTCATATTTTCCGTGCTGCTTCACGGCCTCAAACACTCCCACCGTCTCCAAAATCTTCCCTTCAGGCCTGTTCCTGCCAAATACAGGCAACACCATTACACAATGGACCCTCTGTGTGTGTGTGTGTGTGTGTGTGTGCGTGTGTGTGTGTGTGTGTGTGTGTGTGTGTGTGTGTGCGTGTGTGTGCGTGTGTAAAAAAACAATGTTAAGACATGAGAAGAAAAGCATATGACAACAGAGTAACATATAGGTCTGCATGCTGCACAAACACTGATCATATATCAAACACAAACAACTTCTTCTAAGTCCCAGCAGAGACTCGACAGGAAATCTGACTGTGACAAGAAAAGGTTTCAGGATTTTCCCTCCTATAGAGACGATTTACATCCGTCCCTATAGGAGGGAGCGACAATCCTGCCGCCTCGCTCTTCCCTTCAGTACTAATCTCAATCACAACTTTGACAAGATTGAATAAAACATCTCCTCTTGTCAGACATCAACAAACAGAAATACAATTTGACCTAATCTCCATGTCCTCGCCTTCAACCTCCTAACACACACACACACACACACACTCAGACTTACAGTACATGTTACCAGTGACAACAACAGCTGGTCACTTCAAATAAATAACATGCATTCTTCTGTGCTCCCTGCAAAGCTAATCTTCACAGCACAGATGAAGAGTGGGGATTAATGAGGTGGATATATGGACAGAGGGATTTCATATTTCACAGCAGGTTGGTTTCAGGTTATTTTCATACCATGGGTGTAGTGCAGAAAAATAATCACCAGGTAGCCTGATTTTTAGCGTGTGAAAAAAACAGAATCCTGACATTTAAGAAAAGACATGAGCTCTTGTTAATTACCTCTAGTTAAAAATCACGGATGATCTCATGCTACGCTGCAGTGAGAGCATGAAAAAGGGCAAAAAACAGGAGAAAACTAGTTTCTTTGCCCAACATAAAATACCACCACAGTTCATGTTGGGGCAATGGCATTTAACTATATTAGCAAGATAGTAATTGGAGCAGCAACTAATGGATCATTATGTCTATAAAATGTCAGAAAACAGTAAAAAAAAATATCATATTAAAACTGCTGGTTTTGTTTGACCAGCAGTCAGAACCTAAAGAGATTCAGTTTACTGTAACACAGACGAGAGGAGGGCAGCGAACCCTCACATATAAGTATCACAGTTTTCGGTCAATTGACAAACGGTTTCATCTCTACTTGTTTGCATATAATCGTAAAGACCGTAAAGGCAGCGTCATATTTAAAATGTTAAAAACTAAAGTCTAACTAGCGTGCGTCCATGTTTGTTTGCTAGCAGTCTTCTTCTTCAGAGCTTCTGTTGGAGCATTGCTTCATTTGCTGGTGCACGACCTCCAACTGCAAAATTAGTGGACGAGCATGAAACTGACAGCAGGGTGTATGTGCACAACACGAACAAAATGGGGGATCCATTCATCAATACATGTATATGTTTAACAATTTACAGCAAAGATGTGATAATTTTCACATTGGCACTTGGCCCACGATGAAGGTGATGCCATTTGGACTGACAGTATATAAGTCTGTAATTCGGGGCGACTGAAACAACATACCTCCTGTAGTTACTGAGTTTTGATGAGATTGTGTCAAACTTCTCAGCGAATTAGCTTTGAGTTACTAGCTTAAAACTCCTGATTATCTACAGTCCTGTTTTTGTTTTATTTGGTTCTTTGATTTAACAGCATCCGTTCCCCCCGTTTCCCCTTTTAGTTGACCTTATTTATTGTTTGTATCAATATCATCTATCTCCTTACAAATAAAAAAAACTTTTCTTAACCAATTACATCTAGTTCTATGTTGTTTCCTTTCCCCCACAATGGGACATCCAAAAACATAATGTCTCCAGCCATGACTGCCACCAGCACAGACGCATGAAAATCCTGTGTGCCAAGTTTTCTCGTGAGGATTGAAATTATGTTAAAATCAACATCATTATTCTCTTGTTTGCTTCATGGACTTCTGTATTATTGCATTTCATCTGAAAAGAATCAAACACCTCCAACATTTATCAAAACAATGCAAAAAAAAAAAAAGCCCAGGAATGCATCAGTGTTTCACAACACTTCACACACACCCCAGCACTTGGCCTGAGTAGCTCTTCACAGTTTTAACTGGGCTTTACTGCTCTGTTTCTACCTCTGCAACAATCTGAGAAATGTCAATACACTTTGGCCACACAGAACCTGATCTAAATATAGCCAACACATTGCAAAACCTGGACCCGACTTCAGCCGACAGCTCCCCCTGGTCAACGAGCTAGCCAATACACACAGGAACTATCAACTTCACATCGCTGTGTCACTGTCCCCATGCGGTTACATAAACTAAAGTTGGAGGTACAAGGTGGTGCTGAATCGCTGCTGCTTTCCAACCACTGTGGGGTCACTCACCCACCTGTACACCCACCTTATCTCTCTCTCTCACAGGGGCGACACCCTGCCCCTCTTTCTTCCTGTCCTGCCCTGAGCTGATTTCTTTCAACACCTTTTCCTAGTTGATCGGATGAAGGCAGCTGCAAAATTAAATAGATCCACTATTTTTCTTTACACTGGCCCACAGCCAAGTTCCTTTTATTCCATCACACGTCACTGCTGCTGCTGCTGCTGGTGTGAATCCCAAGCAGAGAAGTTGAGCATGTAGCTGACAGAAACTGCTGCACCTGCGCAACTACAAAGAAACGCTGGAAAATCTAAGACTATTTCAAGAGCAATTGTCTGGGCTAAATTCCTGAAATATCATCAGTAGTGTGCACAGTCTACATGACTGTTCCCGTGTTACTAATCATAGCACTAAGTCTGTAAGCCCTCACCACATGTCCGGGCTGGCTGAGGCAAAAAAAAACAAAAACTGCTTGGTCATGGTGTGTGATGGGGGTTTCATTTCTGCAGCACTTTGAGTCTGAATTATATAAACAAACGCAGGATATGTGTTCAGAATGGAAATGTTAGCTATAGCAGAAACATGAGCTCTAGAAGGTTACACCACTATGACTACACCACTACACTATACTTGTCACTTTGAATTTAAATTTTAATGGAATTTAATTATGTAATTTTTTTTTTGAGATGCCTTCAGAGACTAATGTGAGCACTTAGTGCAATGACAGTATCAGGGAAAGAAAGTCAGGATTTACTCCTGCAGTTTGTTGCACTTTTATCTCAGTTTCTCAGGTATTTGATTTACTAGATTAACCAAAATCAGACCCTCCAGTTTTATCTATATACAGTTTACTTTATTGAATTTGCAGAATATCACAACATGTTTGATTATATTTTGATAAAATTTACATATAGTGTGACAGACACTGTGAGAGGTTGTTATCCATATCACCTACCAATATTTACTGCCATTACACACTAGGACAATTTTGTTATTACAACTGTGTTTATTCTGATGAGAGAACATGTCAAAATATCTGTTGTGAAGAGGAGGGAATTAAGTTAAGATGAATAATTTGTTGCCCATGATGACACCTTAGGATTTTTAGGAGTCAAGTACAATACAAAAAGTTATAAAAGTGATTATTTTACAATGGAAGAATATCACATGGAGGTTTAAGGTTCCCATAATCTTCTGTGAGAACCATTAACAAATGTTTGAATAGAAAAAAAAGCACTGCATGCACTGGGATTTACAGAGCGTACAATTAAAACTTCACAATAATTATGTCTACAACTAGATGTAGATCAATACTATTGCTCGTTAACACAACCTTTTAAAGACACTGAAAACTAAGAGGTGTGTTTAATTGAAGTAACTATGACTATGCAGGAAAAGCTTAAGCCACTTTACCTACTTAGTGCCATCTGAGGACTGAGGACTGAGGACAGGGACATTTTATGTAACTGCAGCTGCTCAAGCATCATCTGGGATTTCACTTTAATAAACACAGAAATGTGTTGTTTAATGAAAAGGTTCCATTCTGTAAATCTGAGGCATATTTTATGAAGCATAGCATAAACTGAGTCTCGCTGTTGAGCATAACAAACTAAGTCTATGAGTGGTTATGCAAAAAGACTAATGATACATAACAACACTGCTGTTAATAATTCATTAACCTATGCTACAGGTAGGATATATAACAGTACTTATTGTATAAATATTCAGGTGAAAATTGTCTTTAATATACTTTACACACAGCTTCTATTACCTTGTTGAACCATTTCCAGAGTTTGTCTACATTTCATTAAAAGCATGCTGATTTATTTATTTTTTTTTTTAATTTTGCTCTTAAGGACCTTTGAAATGCAAAATTATACCTTTTGAAGCTTATTCATAAAACACAATATCTGATTTAAGTGTGCCTATGAAGGGCTCTCTTAATGACAGTGCCACTCTGAAATGCTACATGCAACACATGATCAAACTTCACTTAGATTAGGTAAAATAAGTACTTTGTAATGACATGGTGGTGAGTTTCTAACAGCACATATGTTACGTTAGAAAAAAATGATTACACAAGGTGTACCAGTAATTTGAAGGACTTTTACCATGTGCTAACAGAGCGATGTTATACAGTAATAGTACTATGCAAACAATCAGTGCTTCAACATTAAATCATAAATACAGTGATCAGGGAAGGTAAACTCAGGACATGCCTCCAACTAACAATGCATTCATTCCCATATATATATCGACTACATAATTTACAGTTTTACTTGATTCAATTCAAGCAACTAATCTCACTCTTCATAAAAGGTGAATCTTACCCAGTGACAGCAAACTTTTTCTTACTATGATTTAACATGTATTGAGTCAGCAGGTTGAACGCAGTCAGGTGTTGCTCAACCCATGCTGGCTGGTTACCTTGCTAGCTAGCTAGCTAGCAACAGAGGACGACTGTCCTTTTCGCACTTCGCGTTGCTAAATGTCAGTTCATATTTACACACCAGGCTCATAATGCAGGCCCCGCTTCGGGACATCTGTCCACTCAACAACAACGTGGCCAGTGTCTTCACGGTGCCATCTTGGAGAGCTCGTACTTAGCTAAAGTCTTTAGCATGTTAGCTTTAACAGAGGAGGACACCGGCTGCGTCTCTTACCGTGACGACATGAACCTTCTCTGTTGAACACCGCCGGGCAGACCGCAGGCTCGGCATTGTAACCGTGGTCTGAACGCCTCGAACCCGCTACTGGTGTCTGCGACACTCAGTATTCTGTGTGTGTGTTTCTTGTTGTATTTACTGACAGTGCTCAACAAGCCTCGGCGTAACGCAGAGGCCGCCATCTTTCCTAGCCTGGCACGTTCAGGCACACGCATGAACAGCAGGGATAGTGATGCTGCTTTCAGTGCAATGCTGGAGAGTCGTAATTACGAGAATAAATGTTTAACATAACTTCCATTTTTATTTTCTGTTTTTGTATTTTCCGTTTAAAATACCGGTAGATGGAAACGGTAACTATTAAAAATGTAATAGGGTGATTAAGAGGACTGTGGAGTTTTTAGCCGACTTTCATCATTATTATTATCTTGCATAAGTCCTGATGGTATGGAAATGTCAGATGTGAATAATAATTTTAGTTCTCATATTATCTCATTGTATTGGTAGTAGACTATGGTTAAGAACTGACTGACGTTTTACGATTTCTTCGATTCAATTTTGATTAAATTTTAATTTTGTTTTTTCATTAAAACACTTCGGACCTGAAGATCCTCAACACTTGGCTTTCGGAGCTTATGACGAGACCGTGAAGGCACCAAAAGGGCTCATGCGTACCGTAGCGAATAATATTTAAGTTTAACATTTGATAAATAGTCATTGTCCACTTAGCGAATAAAAACAAATATTTCACCAAGGTTTTTAAATATTTTTCAAAAAATGCGCAATTTAAAATAAAATGTTACCCAGTTGGTCACGTGAGCGAATACGTCATCGTGTCACAAGGTAAACAATATGGCTGCTTCCTTGGTCTTATATTTTCTCCCCTAGCTGTTATTAATGGTTAATTCTTAATGTGTACTAATTTAAAACAGGTACAGATATTTTCCTCCTTCTCTTGATAGTGTGTGTATTATGTTAGCCTGGAAATAGAGGTGTTTAAATAGCTGTTTCGCATAAAGTCAGTAATTTCTGTTAAAACCATGGCCTCGTCATTTGTCGTCGGAGATCAGTTCAGACGTAAAGTGACAGAGTTACTGAAAAAGACAGACTCGTCTCTGCCACAACGACTGAGAGAAGAACTGGAGGAGACTGTGCAAAAACCAGAACCAGCAACTCTGTCCTTCAGTACAGCAAGAAAACTCCAGAAATACCTCCAGGACGAAGGTAGTAAAGTCTGTAACAAGTTAAACGGTTCCTAATGATACTGTCTATCAGTAACTGTACAATGAAAATATTTCCTAACATTACTTATAACATGTGAACTTTTGGAGACTGGTAAAATGTTGATGATTAAAGCAAATCTGAAAAAATGTGTCTTAAAAAATGTGAGGCATTTCCACAAATTGTGTCACTCAAGTCTTGCGGACAAGAATTTAATAATTTGAGTTGTATTACAATATTTAAGTCAGTAATACGCAATGAATTTACATGCTACGTTTGTTTTTTTTTTCAGGGCATCCTTTCTACCTGCATGAGTTGTTGGAGGACAGCTCACTGCACCTGCCTGAGGTTGTGAAGCCTCCCAGAGTAAGTGAAGCCACACACATGTTTGTCATGTTATGGTTTATGTCTGTTTACCTGTGACATCCACTGGTGTCATGCTGCGTTCACAGCAGCAAACAAGCTTCTTACTTGCTTGGAATTGCATTAACTCCAGTTTTTCAGGTGATAATAGATGGATTTCACCGACAGGAAAAGATCTGAAGTCAAATGTAAATAATTATTAGTTATGATAAGGTCTCAAATCAATTATTATCATATCATATGTAAAATAAGAATTTATTTTTATTCTTAATTGTATTGTATTACCCAAGAGTCATATGACATCTTGATTCAGCAGTTACTCCTATATAATGTAAGTGCTGTATAATGCTGGTAAACTCAGGGAGAGAAGTTTGTCTGAAACTGAACCACTGTCATCCGGACCACAGCTGGAAACAGGTAACACTAGAGCCAGATGTTTCTCTCTCCCTCCAGAACCCAGAGCTGGTCGCACGTCTGGAGAAGATCAAAGCCAAACTGGCCAATGAGGAATACAACAGGATCACACGTAACGTCAACACTCAGGTGAAAACTCTTATACGCTAACGATACAAGTATCTTTGTGGTCTGGTGTATCAGGGTCAAGACGTGTTAGAGATCATTTTTCTCTGTCTATTGACATGTGGTGTTTCATATCTACAGTTCTGATCTTTGTGGCAAGTTTTTCTATCAGACGAAATAAAGATTTGCACATATTTCACAGTGTAATGAAGTGTAATCTGTGTTTGTCGCCAGGAAATCAACCGAAACGGAACATTAGCAGATTTTGGACGGGAAGGTTCGTCACATGTCCAGATTCATTCATGACACCTGAATTCATTTTGTGTTGCTATACTATCTGAATTACTGTAAACAGAAGCCGACTTGTGTGGCGTCATACTGACATTGACTTATTTCCCTCTTTCTTTGGGCAGTGCGATCAGTCAAAGCTGTGGTGGTGACCGTATTCAACTTCCTGGTCACAGTGGTCGCTGCTTTCGCCTGTTCTTACATGGGCAGTCAGTATCTGTTCACCGAGACCACAGCGGTAAGAGAGCATTTAACTTATCATACACTGAGTTGCCACTTTATTAGGTACACCCAGCTAACTCCAACAGACATGTAATTAATTAAGAGCTGGCAATTAAATTCAACGCAACCATAGATTTTGGTAATTGATGAGCTCACACCACAGGCTGTTAAATCCAAGTGTGTTTGATTCCCTCCTGTCACCTGTTAAGTTGAGTTTAAGTCATCCAACTTTGGCTTTCTGTGTTCCTGACTTGCTTCCCAGCGGGTGATCTCAGCCGTGATCGCTGCCTCTGTAGTCGGCCTCGCTGAGCTGTACGTCCTGGTCCGGACCATGGAGGGAGAACTGGGAGAACCGTAGCAGCAGTTGAGAGCTGCCCCATCATGTCTTCTGATTCAGAACAGAGATCTCACTTTGCAATGAAACACTTTGGACTTTTTGTCTTTGATTTGTGAGGAAAACTGTGGAATAAGTTACTGAGAATTTACAAGTTAATGACAGTAGAGCCGCTCAATGGAAGCTGGAACTTTACAAGGAAGTAAATTGGTTTAAAAGGACTGATTATCTGCCCCTTCACTTACTATGATGCTACTGCTTAATCTGACATTCCACCTTTTTTTAAATATTTGTTTACAATTATTTTGTATTTCATACTTTTCCTGAAACTACAGCCTCCAGTGTTTCTCCCTCCTCTTTCTCCTGTCCTATAGAAAATGACTGTCGCTCATTTTCTTATGATTTCCTCCATCTGTTCTCAGGTGGAATCGTATTTATGTGTTTAATAAAATCATCGATGCTAACTCAAGCTAATCCGTGAAGTTATTAGCTCCAGTTCGTATAGAGTATATTTTCCTTTCCTTCACTCTGTGCAGCAGATATAAGAACACTAATGTGAGAACACTCTGGCACTATGACCTGACGGTAAAACACGTGAGAATCGCCCAAAATGAAATCGATGTTTTCTTACTGTCAACAAACGGCACAAAAACAAAACGACCCTCAGACCGTCTCTCAGGACTTTATTACTTCCCTGTCTGTGCCACTCAACACCAAGTCCAATGGTTCCTCCTCAAGCTGTAAATTAATACACGTTTCATAGTAAACGACGGTGTGTGTGTTCATGGTAATGAAGTTCACTCAGTGCAACAGTGTGACACATTTTAATAGTTTTTAGACGTGCTGTCCTTAGTTTCCTCTGGAGATGAGAGTGATGAACAGCTGCTCCACCACCCTGACTGAAAATGTCTTGACAGCTCTGGGATGAACTGCCATTAGATTTGAAACAGAGATCCATGATCCTTTGTTGGTCCCTTAAAGGGGAACTCCACCAATCTGACGCACTAAAGTCTGTTTACAGCTGTTGGGGAGTTCTGCTGAACCCCTTTGTGGCTCCAGAGGAAAAGAAAATCAGAAAAGTGATCTCAGAAGTTTTTCATTTATTCCTCCTGGAGAACTCTGAGATCTGAGAGAAACAGAAATGAGACTATAGCTTATTTCTCCTGCCTCTCTTTTTTTTTTTTCGCAGGAGAAGAAGACTCACAAAATCTGAAATGACTCTCCTTTTAAGTTTTCAAATGAGATCTCGTCCAGCTCTGAAATAATTCTCAGATATCCTCAACTTTTGTGCTTCTTTTTGATCCCAAGCAGAGAAATCATAGAGCTCTCTCTGAACCTTTCACCTGAACCTCAAAGTGTAAACTTTAAATAAAGGGCTGATTTGTTTTTAGCATTTGTAAATGTCCTTGATTTGTAGTTTTAATTCATATATATGTATTAGGTGAACCTGGATGAAACTAATGCAGTATAATGGAACAGGCCTGCAGTAAATCCTCCTTCATATATAATGTTCATTATTTACTGAATCTGTTTGAGAAGTGTTGGTTTATTTTAATGGTCATTGTGGAGGCTGTGATTGTGGTAATGTTAAAGTGTACTGGGATGTACTGAGTATAGGGTTAGTTTATATACAGTGGTGTCAAAGTGTGAGACCACTTTCCCATGTAGCCTCACATGTTGCTCCATAGCAGCTCTAGTATCGCTCAGTTTAAAAGTCAACCAGTCGACTATTACTTTAACTTTCCATCTGGCTCCATCATCAGGATTAATGTTTAATTTTTTCCAGACTTTATGACAAAGCTAACAACATTCCCATGAGCTTCAGCTGCACTTTGTGTTTAGTTTTAATTAAGAAATGTTACTGTTCCAAAAACTATAATGATGAAGAGAATTATTATTAGCTTTTGTGTTTTAATGTGAACGTTTATTCTTGACTGTGGGAAGAGCAGTTTCACAAAAATGAAGAGCTGTTTAAAAAGCTGTTAAGTGCATCTTTGGTTGAGTTTTTTTATTTTTTATTTTATTTTTTATTTTATTTTGATAGTTTCCCTTGTTTTGACTCTTCTAAATAGCCCGTCAGCTGTGGCATCAGTCGGTAATACTGTTTACCGACTGTTCCTGAATTATTTTATTATCCATCTCCACCTGACAGATGTGATATTAACTGTCTGCTGATCTGGTTTCAATTCAACTACAGAGCCGATCAGCACATAAAAAAACAAACAGTTATTGTATCCCGGGACTACAGCAGCCATGACAACAGATTTAACATCCTCCGAACAATAACACCTTATTTCTTATTTCTGAACAATTCCGACAGGAGACAGACGATCGCTCTTCTCTGATCCCTCCTCCAGATATGAATTCATATTTTTCTGTAAACTATCCTCATCCTCCTCTTGTCAACTCCTGTCATATCAGTGGAAGGATTAAAAGATGTAACTACATCTGGAATACAAAATAAAAAGTATCGTCCTAAGATCTGAGATTTGACACCCGGATTAAAGGTTTATTGAAAGATTATTTGGTATTAAAGATGATTATGATATGCAGAGATCTCTGTCCAGCACTGGACGAACAGTGGGCGCTACTGTCTGTCATATTTGCCTCTGTATTATACCTCTCATGTAATATTTCAAAACTTAAATCCAGGCAGAATTACAGAGCCTGTAAGCTGATAGACCCTGAGCTCTGGCTTTAATTTAGTTCTTATTTTTCTTTTTTTTTTTCCTTCCCTCTGTCCAGCTAACCCTCCTGATACGTACAGAACAGGGAGATATGAAAAAAATTTATTTTGACTTAGAAAATAATTATTCCTGTCATGGTATCTTACCACAAGGAATCATTTTAATCAGGATGTTTTGAAGGATAATACTGGCGGGGTCGCAGCATTAAACATGTCGCAGTTCAGCTTAGAGCAGGAAAACAGGAGCCGGCGTCTGTGAGGAGAATCCATGAACATGAACCAAAGTGTTTCCACGGAGGAGGCCGGTCGACCGGTGATTTGATGCCTTCCAGTCATCTTTTCTTTACTAATAAATAAACATGAGACTCCGAACATACTGAGGAGAATGAGGCATTGCTCTCGACCTTTGGCAGATTGATACAGACTGAGGGTCTTCAGTCAAAGCAATGTTCACCCAGAGACTTCTGGTTCCTCTTTTTGGGAACTTTACTCAATAACTACATTATTTACATTAAACACCGGGCCTACCTCGACTCCAGTGATTTCCAACCATGCACTTGTACTCCAGGGGTGGGGGGGGCGGTACTCTATTATGTGCCTGAAAAACGAGTTAGCAAGCGAGCAACCTTTTCCATCTCATGGCCGACTTGTCGATTCATCATTTGTCTCTTGACTCTCTGTCCTTTTAATGCTTCCTGTTGCTAACCAGCTATCCTTCCTGATGCTCTGGTTTTTGATTGAGTTTTTTGATCTTTTAATGCACAATTAGACTGATAGCAAGTATCACATTTTCTTCCTTTGCATTAGAAATATTGTAAATTTGCATGGTTGTATGTTCATCTCTCCATTTCCGGCCTATTCTTTGCAAAATGTTGCTTGTACCATGAGAAATAGCAGCTGTAGATCGTTATTGGTTGGAGAAATATCCTAAAAAACCAAGACTGTGTTGCTTCAGGAACAATTAGCAGATTGAACTCGGAGCTGGGATGAAATTAATCAATTTATTCCCTAAAATATACAACAAAGACAAACCAACGACAACGCAACAATTACACATATATATGTTGTATATTACAGGTTTGTTTGACGTACAATCACCTCTGGAAACACACGGGACAGACTGAGACATTGAAAGTGTTGTAAGAGGAAAATACAAGGGGATGTGACACAAATGTTCAGTGAGTTTGATCATTTTCTGCGGCTCATGCTTCACGTCCAGGGTCGTCAGAATTCGAGAAAGTTGGTGACGATGGCGGCGTTGTAGATCAGGTCTGAGATGTACCCCATGGAGGTCTGTGGTCCCATTTGTGGGTGGTGATGATGGTGGTGGTGGTGATGTCCTTGGCCCTGAGTTACCTCCCAGTACACCGGCTGAGGGTGAGAGGGGACTACTTGGTCCACAGAGGCGTGCACGCCTCCGCCCCCGGTGCCGCCTCCGTACACGGCCTGATGAGCCCCGGATGGAACCAAACTCTGGGGCTTGAAGTTCCTGAAAGCCTGGTAGGAGCGGGACGAGCCCGGGTGGTGGTGAGGCGGCCTGGTCATGGGCTGGGGAAAGGAGCTAGGAAGAAAACCAGGGAGCGCCGGTCCCAGGTGCTGCTGCCGGTGATGCTCCTCCTCCCAGGGTCGAGACTCTGAGGGTTTTGAGCAGGTGCCCAGAGGGGGCTGCTGGTGGTGGAGCGACGAGGAGGACGGTGGAGATGACACAGGGTTGCTGTAGATTTGGATCCAGTCGGAGTAAATTTGCGGGACGTCCTCGGAGTGGTGGTTCTGCTCCTGCCTGAATATGTCCTGCAGGGTGGTTGGGGTGGGGAAAGCGGAGGTCATGGGTCCAGAGCAGGACTCCACAGGTCCTCTAACTCCCAGGACAGGCTTGGTGGACTTGGGGAGTCTGCCAGTCTTGATACTCCTGGCTCTTCTGTTCTGGAACCACACCTGTGGAGAATAATGTACTTCACCAACTTGATGACCAACATCTAATAAATTACAAAACCTTTGATCGGTCATATTTTGATGTTTTCAAAATATAGTTTTATCATTTTTGGGGAGTTTTGCAGCTAATCAGAGGAGCAGCAGACTCACCTGGATCTTGCTCTCTGGCAGGTGAGTGTGCGCGGCCAGCCTCTCCCTCAGAGTGATGTCCGGGTAGGGAGTCACAGCGAAGGCCTGCTCCAGCTCCGACAGCTGGGCCCGGCTGAAGATGGTCCTCTTCCTCTTCCTCTGACCCTCCGTCAGACCCGCGGCTCGGTCCGGCTCCGGGGAGGACACGGCGCTCTCACTCCGCGCATCTTTTAATATAAAATCAAAGGAGGAAGACAAATTTTCAAAATAAAATGAAATAAAATAACCTACATTAACGTAAAATAGAATAAATAAGAAGGAGGAAGAGAAAAGGGAGGTGAAGAAACATTTCAATTTAGATGGTCAAAAAGCACAATAATGTTATGTCAACGTTTTCTGGGCCTTTAAAATTAAATCACATGTTGAAAAAAAAAATCCATTTACAAATACATCTAGAAGATATTTGGATTTATTTATTATTTATATATTATTTATTTCCAGGTAATAATTTTTGCTTACAGTAGAATAATATTGGCATAAAACACGTAGGCTACTTGTTTATAATCTTTTAATTTTATTTTGAAAATAATTCTCTCGTCTTGACTTCTGCTGTTTAATTAATTTCACATTGATCGAAGTTACTTCCAAAAGAGAATTGTTTCATTGTCGTATCGATTAATTTGCATCTGCTGCGGTTTCTTGAGTGAAACAACTACACGAGGCAAACAATGAAATTTATCAAGGATATAAATTAATTGAAATAAAATGCAAAATTCATCTTATTATTATTCTGTAGATCGTATTTAACTCACCTTTACAATGGTCCTGTTCTCCGAATAACGCTCTAAAATCCATCATGTCTTTCTGCTGGTTCTGCTTCAGTGGAGAGAAATCTGAGTCCATGAACAGAGCCATAACCCCCAACACACACACAAACACACGCACAGACACACACACATCAGCTGCTCGGCCTTCACTGATGCTGGCAGCTGAGGAGGAGTTTCCACTTCTTATATCCCGATCAGACGGGACACCTCCCACCACCACCACCCTGCAAATCCAGGTGTTGTCCACCTCTGCCTCTATAATCCCCCAGTTTACTGAGAGCAGAGCAGAGTTGTTTTCATGCTGAGTTACATTATGTGATCTTCAAGTGCTCTGACTTTGAAGACCTTTGAGGACCTGAGTAACAACACTACAGGACTGTATAATACAAATGTGTTATAATAACAGAGCAAAGATCAGGGGAAAATAACAAAACTTCTATTCATATATTTATTCATATAAATTTAATTCATTTATATTATATTTATATTAATTATATTCATTCATTGACCTAATGATTAATTCAGTCATTGCTTCATTTCCGCAGGAGTCTCGTAAGATTGTCAATGGTCTATGTGAAAATAAAATACCAGTAGCCTATAATATATATAATAATTTAATTTGCTTTTGAAATTGTTTTAAAAATGCCATAAAACTAACCAAACTCTGAAGTCAGGGTAGGAATAATAATATCATGTCTAATCACCCATGTGTTATGAAAGACATGGCTCCATATTTGAAAAGCCAAATGCCCAAATAACACAGAAAAGTGATTCCTTTTTATAACTCTGTCAGACTCACTAAACAACCTGCTGCTCTTATAAAAAATATCAATCTATCTATCTATCTATCTATCTATCTATCTATCTATCTATCTATCTATCTATCTATCTTAAACAAACCGGACAGTGAAATTATCCCACAAAACATTTCCAAGTAGATCACAGGGCTGTTAAATCTCCAGCACAGTTCACACAGTGATATTATCACACCTGATTCCTGATGGAGAGAACTTCACTCACTTCAGGAGATGAGACACACTTTCTCAATTTCTCAACATTTTAATTCAAAATATAATAAAAGAACCTCTTTCCCTCTTGTATAAACCGTCTTTGATCATATTATTGTGTTTCTATCATATTGATTTCTTTGTTTAAAGCCTGTTGTTCAGAGCAGAAGAGACGAACTCACGAGAACTGATCAGCTGTTCTTATTCCCCTGCAGCACTACTGTCACTAAATCCCCCCCAGAGCTTCTACAGTTAATATCAAGGGTTTAAAAAAAAAAAACACCTGCAGTGACGTCACTGACTGGGGGTGTGGCCTGAGGTGGATGAGGCTCTATGCAGCATCAGTTTGTTGTTTTTAACAGCCACTAAAAGACTCAAACAAACCGTATGAAGCTGCAAACTGATTCCAGATGAACCTGTTCGTCCTGCATCATGTTAAAGTTTATTTATTTTCTTTTTTCCTCTTCTTCTTGTTTTGTGATTCTACATTTTGTTTTGTCTTTTCTTTTTTCTCCCGTTTGATCCTCTGTAAGAAACACAATCTCTACATTTAGGTGTCAAACAGCACAGTTTATTGATCTCATTCCCATACCTCATCCTCATTTCAGTAACACAATATTAAAGCATGTGGGTGTAAATATCACTCAGCAATCAGCTCATCATCATTTTTTTCCTGCATTTTTTGTGTGTTTTTCCTAATGATGAGACAATTCAAAACCGAGTGTCAATCAAACAATTATAGTTCTTCAGTGACATTTGTGAATCATACATCCATCCTGGTGCAATGTTAAAGTCTAATATTGACTCTAATCTTGTGGTGATAATAAAAGACTTACACAACACAGCAACATTTCAACTCTTTGTCCAATACATCGCAACTACAAACACACACAAATAAAATAAAAAAAAAAACTACTGTTGACAAACCAGCCCTGACATTTGTGTGTCATTAGTGTTAAACAACATGGGTGCACACACATACACAGTGTTCTCCCCAACAATGTCCGAGCTGTGAGCACGTCACCTGCGGCATCTGCAGGAATGTTCACTAATCCACCACCAGGGGGCAGCAAAGTCTTTTCAAAGTGCTACCAAGCCAGCTCTGAATCTCCTTTCAGCTCAGAGTTGGGTGCAGACAATGAAGAACCTGCTGAACACAGCAAAGAGGGGGCTGAAAAAGTCTGAGTCTGAAAGGAGAAAATCTTCAATCCCAGATGTTTGAGCTTCACTCAAACTTGCGCAGGTGGTTGTAGAGGGACTGGACGTAGGTGAAAACACACATGGGGTCTGGTTTACGACCCATGATCATCATGTCGTCCACCTCGATCAGCCGATCACAGCCCGCCTTCACTCTGGAGACACAGACAGAGAAACACAAGTCAGGAGGGAAAGCTTCAACCTGCATGGAAAATTTTGAAAAGTCTTAATTTCATTGTTGTTAAGCTGAAAAAAAGAGCATTTATGGACGATGAAACAGAATACATGATATACAACAGAATGCATATTTGTGTGGAATGGATCAAAATGTTTCAGCTGACTCGGTTTAAGGTTGTTTGGCCTATTGATTAATCTATAAAATATCAGCAAATGTCAGGAAATCACAGTTTCCTAAAGTTGAAGATGCTGTTTTTCATTTCAAAATGCAAAGATATTCAGTTCACAATGATATAAAACAGAGAAAAGCAGCACATTTTCACATTTGAGAAGGTGAAACCAGAGAATATTCTGTATTTTGTCTTGAAAAATGACTTAATTAGTTGATTATCAGAATTTCTGTTGATTGATTGATTGATTGATTCTAACATTGTGTCTTGGATAGTTCTGACGAAAATACAAAATTTTCCTTTACATTCTAACAAATATGTTTTGAGGAGTTAAAGAAGGAGACTATATGTCCTATAAGTCTCTGCTCTGTGATCTCCTTAAGAGGTCAAACCTAAAGCTGCCACTGTATACGAAGGACTGATTCTGTGACCAAGTGAATATTGTTTTTCAGTCAAATCAGCTTAATTCTACAACAGTGTTAAAAGAATAACACATTCATAAATCAAGTGGTATCTTTAAGCCCTGGCATACAGCATGTTCACGTCCATGCAGTGTGCCTGTATAATGTCTGATCTATAGCATGTGGTCTGTAGGTGCAGTATCTGGCTGAGGAAACAATAAGCCGCGCTCCGTGAAGCTATGCAGTCAGGCAAAAGGAATGCACATCTTTCACCAAACACAAAAAAAAGGCATGGCGAAGCAGACAGGACAGGCAGGACTATCGCCATATAAAATGTGTGTATGGTGTTGTCTCGAGTAAAACAGCAACTTCACAGAGGACAATAAAAATCAATGCATAAAAGAAAACAAATTAATAAACATTCAGCCACAATAAAGTAAAGACTTTCATTGTTGATGCAGTCAAGGCCCATAAATCCTTTGAGGCTGATTCAGCAAATTTCAGAAACCACAACTGACTCCCAGTTAACTAATGGGTGTTTGTGCTGTTGCATAATGAGAGCAATGAGAAGTTAAAGGAGTAATCTGACATTTTCAAATAAGGAAAATAAGCATATTCACTTTCATACTGAGAGTTAGATGAAAGGATTAATACCACACTCATGTCTGTGTGTTAAACATGAAGCTACAAACAGCAGGCAATTAATGTACTTTAAGACAGGAAACAGCTAGCCTAGCTCTGTCCACAAATTTAAAACATCCGCCTACCAGCACATCTAAAGCTCGCTAATTAACAAGAACCATCTCATTTGTTGAATGTGTACAAAAAACCAACGAGGAAAAACAACACGTTCTGCTTCCAGCTGGAGTTGTGAAGTGGTTAGCCTATTAGCATAAAAACAGGAAGCAGGGGGCTGCCTCTTTGTAGTTCAAAAATATATATACCAACACTTATAAAGCGCACAAATGAACATGTTGTTTCTCGTTTTTTAACTGTGCACAAACACACAGCTCCATATTGGTATCTCTTCTTGCCTCACTCTCAAAAACATATGGTGTATTTCACCAACTTAATTTAGCCTGTTAGCATGCTAACATTTGCTAATTAACATAACAGTCAACATTAAGGTTTCAAAATATGGGAGATTTTTGTGGGGTTTATTATTATTTATTATTATATAAAACTGAGAAAAGCAGCAAATCCTCACATTTGAGAAGCTAGAACCCGAAAACATTTGGTGTTTTGGCTTGAAATTTTTTTAATTAGTTGTTTATAGCGGTCACTGATTAATCTTCTACTGATTGACTTGAAGCTTCAGCTCTGCATCATATGACAGGTGCCTGTATCAACAAAACGTTCACAAAACAGCCAATATCAGCCTAATATATCTAATTTATCATTAGATAAATGTCACATGAACATAAAATTATTCAGTTTTGTTAAACTTGTTAATTTAACAATGATCAATTAAGAACAGCTGCACACACTACCTGAATCAGGTTGTGAGTTGCCAGGTTGTGGTAACAGATGGGTTGAAATCAATTACGAGGGGATTGACCCCCCCGATTAAGACATAGACCCCCAAAGGGTCGTAAAAACAACAGTCCGGGGAGGGGGGTTGCAATATCTATATATTTTTCTAACCTGTAATTATAACTATTACAATATGTTCCCATATTCATGCTTGGAAGAATTTTGTGATACGATTTCAGACACCCCTAAAGTGGACCGTACCATTTCCTAACCCTGACGTAAAGTCTTGTTTACGTTCCTTACTCTTGTCAGTGGTTCGCGCTGCGTGACTCTGCCCCCGTGCGACAGTGATGGTAAATGTAAGTGGACTATCCCGTTGGTTTAAAACACTTTACTGTGTTAAACACTTGAAGTATCTACAGATAAATGCTGATATCATCTTGTTTCTAACTTTTGCCTCAAGTTACTGTTTAGCCAACTAATGTTAGCTAGTTTCTAACTTTAACCTTAAGTTACAGTTTAGCTAACTAATGTTAGCTAGCGGATAGAGCCCATTCATTTCCAATGTTAGCTTGTCATTTCATTACCAATGACTAATGTTAGCTAACACTGGTGCTCAGTCATGAGCAGTGAGACAGTGGGGGGTTAGTTATTGTAGAGATAAGTTTTGACATCAATATAGAGTTTATTATTTATGTTGATAATCTTTTGTTTGGCTGTGGTGGCTTAGTTAGTATTTTACCTTTTTGGTCTTCTTTAAGAAACACCCTCTTTGTTTTCACTCAGGAATTCGGGAGTTTTATCTGGTTTTGTAATTCAATAATATTAAACTACATGTGTGATGGATGCTTAGTAATTGCATTAGCAGTGGTGGAAAGTAATTAAGTACATTTCAACTTTTTGGCTTCTTACATCTTACAAAAAGCAGTGTTTAATCAGGGTTGGGTTGTAAACAGTCCACCAAATAGTGATTTTTCCCTCTAAACTTTTCACATGGTTTCATTTCCATAAATGTTGAAATGATCTAAATGAATGATATATTAGAAAAAAAAAAAAATTCAAAGATTAGAGAACAAGTCTAAAAACTGAAAACAGATTTGTGAACCAGATCTTTGTTTTTTCTTCTTCCCTCTCTAATTAATCATCTGACGAACCCTCAGATTTATCTGGTGACCCTGTTTGTGAGATGGGATTTTCAGCAGTTAAGGACACGGACAGGAAATCTCGCAACATGCTCCGCACAACGAGTCTGTCCTCTCTTCTTTCTGTGGACATCAATGGACCACCTTTGGAGATCTTTGACCCTACTCCACGTCCTGGTTGAAAGCTGGTCATCGTTTGTCATCATCATGGGTGTGCGAGAAGAAAGCCCAGGAGGGTCAACCCAAACCTCTGTGGTCAATAAATAAGGTAAGACTGATTTGATAGAGTTTGCGTTATGCTACTTTACGGACTGAAACATCACCTTACCTACTCCTTAAAGGCATAGACCACACAAAAAACTGTTTTATAAATAAATAAATAAACCCATATTCCACTTTTCCATAGAATTCATGTTTCTCACTTCTGAATTAATGTAAAAGATAGGATTCACTCCAGCTTAGGCCTTTCGAGCAAATAGACTGAGTCCTATGTTTTCCATTCATTTTGGTATTGGGACCAGTACAGGACACTATATGTAATGTTGAATGAGATGATGTGGAATATTTAGAGTATTGTGGTCTATGCCTTTAATGTTAATCAGGCACAGGCCTAGATGCTTTATGGTGGCAACACATCTGCCCAGCTCTTTGCTAGATTGATGGTGTTTTTGGTTCTGCTACAGCGTTTTGTGGGTCTGTATTTTGGTGGAAATGATGGTCTGCTGTTGTTGTTTGTGTGTGTGGGTCTGATGTTCCGGCAGTTTTGCTCTTGAATTCTTTGTTGGTGAGCCCGTGACTACAAAAGTTGTTGTGTAGTGCATGCTTCATCAACTGGTGTAATTGAATTTGATTCATCATCATCGTCTACAGACTGTAGACAATAAACAAGCATGGTACTGTAGGGATTGTAAGACTTCAATTCATTGAACCACGCGCCTGCGCTGTACTGGGAAAAAAAGTTGATTATTTATAATAAAGGTTGAGGGCCGTGAAAATTACTGGAGTTTCCCAGGAGAAATGACAAAATGGGACGGCGCCGGGAGATCATCGTGAAATACGGGAAACTCCCAGGTATGAATTAGCACTAAAAACAATGTACAACTGAGGCTGATGGGAACGTCATTAGTTTTGCGGGTGATGAATAAAAAAACTGTTATGATGATTCCATAGGATTAGAAGTTAATCAAATTAATCCACTTCATGCAGTTTAATAGCAATCCATTCAATAGTTGCTGATATATTTCACAACAAAACAAAAATATCGACCTTGTGGTGAACATTTTTGTTTTCACCAGAGTCACTAGGATCCATCCTCTGGGGGCCGTGATTGTCCAAATGATATTGTTCAGATATTTCAGTGTGGACTAAAGTGGCTAAAACTGCATCATATCAATAAAACCGACAGAAACAGCATTAACATAAATTGTGATATTGCCGCCACTCACTCTGCGGTTCCAAAGGCTAGCTCGAAGTTGTGTTTACGGTTGCCGGGCGACAGAGCGGTGTAGTCGAACTCCGTTGGGAAGAAAGAGTGGACGAGAGCACAAAACGCCATCCCGTCACTCCAACTGGACGAGAAGTTCTGGATGTCGATGTTCTACGGAGAAACAAAGGAAAAAGATTTCAGTGATGATGTGGCAAGAGTGTGCACGTGTGTTACTGTCATTTCAGACCTCTGTGTGCAGACAGAAGTAGGTAGAAGAACATGACTTGTAAAACTGACTGGCAGCTTGCTGGAGCTTCATGAAGCCATCTCCCCATTTACTGTCTAGCCCATAATTATGATGGATAAAACAGACTTTCCTCTGCTCTCCTGCTTTTTGGTCTGTGACATGCTTTTGAAATCATGTCATTTCAAGGCTATTCTTTATTAGTTTGGAGTTTGTCCTTGAATGAAATGCAACATGTCAAGTCACTGGACGAACCTCTCTCTGTCGTGTGTGTGAGAATGTTTGCTCCCAGTTAATAAGAGTCTGTTGGCTATGACTGTAATCAGATCCACATGGAGCAGCTGGCACAGGGGGCCGTGAAGAAAACAGTACCAGAGTGCAGCGATGTGTCGGTGTACTCACCCATGACCTAAACTCCCTCAGCCCCAAAACCCTCACATATATACACACCTGAAATCACAAGGACACTCACTTCCACACAGCTCTATGGTTGAGAGGCAGATAATTAACACATTAGCACTGTGCTGACGGGGTAAAGCTATAAGAAAGACAGGAGCTATGCTAATTTAAAACAGATGAATTGTATCTCTCATTTCATGCACTTTCAAATTAAAGGACTGTTTTGGAAATTTTGCATCTTTTAGCCCATTTAAAACAAATTGTGTAAACATTTAATTACTGTTCTTTTTGAAATGTTTCTCCTACTTTGGCTAACTATGACACATATACTGAAATATTAAACAATGTCTATCAATGCAATTTTTGTAAAATATATTAATTAACTTATTTTCTGAGCATTTGACAAGAAGATTGATACCACTCTCATGGCTGCACAATAAGTGCATAGCTGGGGCCAGGAGGCAATTAGCTTAGCTTAGCATAGTGTCTAGAAGTAGGTGGAAATACCTAGCCCAGCTCTGTCCAAAGGCAAGAAAATTGAAAAACTGACATTTACCTCTTAACTTTTATAGAAAGAGAAAGGAAAAAACAACAGTTTGTGGTTTCACAGGTAGTTATTTGCTTTCTTGAACAACAACCACGTGTCACAATGAGGTTTCCATCACTTTTTGTGTATGATTGTAACAAATGAGATATAATGTGATAATAATTGAGCTTTAGAGATGCTGATAGACATAATTTTTTAACATTGACAGGAGCCAGGCTAGCTGTTTCCCTCTGCTTCTGGTCTTTATGCTAAGCTAGGCTAGAAACAGCCCCAGTTCCTTAATTAACAGATGTGGGATCTTCTTATGTAACTCTCAGAAACACAGCAAGTAAGTGTATTTTTAAAAAAAAAAACATCTTTAAATAAATCAATCAATACCTACAAAATAGCTACTTAATCATTTCTATACTATAAAATAATATAAATATATAAAATCTACTTGTAAAGATTTGGTCGTCCATCAGTATAATCATAAACGTCTCTTTAAAACCCGGACTTATCTATTTTTGTCAGAGTAACATTATTATGTCGTGACACTGCAGTTGAAAACCTGCCAGAAAGTCAAACCGACAGGGCTAACAGCTGGAAGACATCTTGAAAAGGATAACATGGATTTATTATCTTATTGCATTAACATGGCTGCTGCTGCTGCTGCTGCTTGTGTAGTGCTGGGCTTCAATCTTCCACACAGGACATGAACACACCATCAGCTTTCCACTACATTACCATTTGACAATAACACGACTTTGACAACAATGGAAGCAGACACGCTGGGTTACCTTTCTCAAGCAAGTCTGTGCCAGTTAATTTTCATGCTATTGTGAAATGAAGACACATGAATGAACTGGCACAAAGGTAATCAACTATGATCTGTTCTGAAAAATGGTGCAGTGGCGTAATGGTTATGCAATTTGTAGTTGAAGCTTTGAATTTATCTGGACGTAATATATGGACTAAATGTTATAAAATATGGACCTGTATAGATTTATACTATATAATCTTAAAATATATGTAATGTAATGTAATGACACAAACACATAATCAGAGTTGTGTCTGAAAGATACCTGGTAGCCTATGGTCTTGGAGCGGCACCACTCAAGAAGGATCTGTTTGATGCTGCTGGCGCTGGACACCCCAAAACTCTGAGACCGCTTCAGTTTGGGTTTAGAGTCCACTGGTTTGGGACAGCTGCACAGGAGGAGTTGGAAAGGCGGCAACAAAGATTTATCGGACTTGTATTTACCATTGTTTCCATTGTTACCCAAATGCAACGTTAAATTGCATTTACCTGTTACTTGCTTCAGAGTCCAGTCTCTCAAAGATAGAGCGACGAGCCTGAGCTCCAATGTTACGAGGCAGAGTCTGTGACCTCACCAGTTCCCGCCTCCTCTCTCCTATCTGCCCAAAGGACTTGCCATTGTTTGTATCACCATCTCTGCAGGACGGGAGCACAGAGGGGTAAGACTAACAAAATTTATCTGACCTGTCCTAAAAAGATGTCCTTCCTCTGTCAGTTGACGCTCACCTGTCATGGTGCTGCAGCCCTGAGTAGGTCACAGACTTGCTCGGGGCTGAATTAGCCTTTTCTGGAAAAGACAAACATTCAGAGTAAATCATAATGTTGTAGATTCAAACAGGATATCAGGATATGTGTCTGAGAGCAGGGCTCACCCTGAAGGCGGGGGGATCCCAGAGCTCTGATAGGTGTAGGGGTCCATGTCTTCACAGAAGATACTAACAACAAAGAAAAAGGAAACTGTAATTTAAGAACTTAATCATGCTGCATTCATGTTCGCTAGACAAACGGTTAGCTACCTGATTGAATCGGAGACTCCTCTATCGGTTGGGGCTGGTTGATGGTAGTGAGTGATTGAGGAGGTGAGGCCTCAGAGACAATAGAGGTCCGAGAACCAATGGGACTGCTGGGGGAGTCCGGAGAGCTCTTAATGTCCGCTGTCTTGGTCGTAGCGGTGATGGGGAGGTGGGGCATCCGCATGGCGACAGGGGCTGTGTGCTCGTGTGGGAAGTCGTTGGGTGGAGAGATCTTACCGTGCACCAACATTGAGTGTTCTAGTTGGATACAAAGATTGACAATGATCACATTAATGGAGGTTCTTGGAAAGGGGTCATGGCCAACTGTACAGTTTCCCTGTCTGGAGCGTTTTAGCTATTTATAGTTCAGTGTTTCGGTTTGTCGTCCCACGAACTCTACTCTCATTAGACCCAGTCTCTTCCAGCAAAACAAACAAATTAAAAAAGAAGAGGGAACTGACTGAACTGAAAAGAGGCTGGGAAAATCTGACATTTAATCACTAATATGCATCAAGCTCCAAGAACAGTGGATCCTACATTTCCCATATTCCAACTCAACAGCATGTTTTTGTTAGACCCTCCCTGTCTGAGAGTCTAATATAAGTCTCCCAAAATCCAGACCTTAAGTTTGTAACCCAGGCTTTCAGTTAAAGATTTACAGTCTCTGAGCCCAGGCTAACCAAACTTACCCATGATCCCTGATGACATCAACAGGACCTGACAAATCTCTTCCAGAGCCACAGAAGACAATATACAACTGTTCTCACAGGACTCCCTGTGAGTGAACGGATCTTAAAGTGTGAAATCAGTGGACTGCCCCTTTAAGAGAAAAACTTTTTGAGGCTTCAAACAACCCTGACAGTTATAATGTGGTTACCTGTTGCAGCAGCATGCCCGTTCTCCTGCCCAGCATGTATTGGGGCGGGGTCCACCTCTATTGGCTCCTCTCGCTCAATGCTCTGAAACACACACACACACACACACACACACACACACACACACACACACACACACACACACACACAGAGTCGTGGTTAAGAACAACACACTAACAGCCTTCATTGCTTTTAAAAGGAGCATGAAGTCATGTTTGACCTTCACTGGAGATCGGTAGGAGGGCTGGAAGGAGGCAGAACGAGCTGGAAAACAAGCTTTGGAAGCCAGAGACTTACCTGCTGAATTAATCGTGGTATTGTTCGGTTGTATTGATTACCCTTAGTGTTTGTTTTGCCACAGGGGAGTAAAAACTCTACTTTAATTTTGTGTTGAGATGTTGAAACACTAAAATGTTGTGTTTGGATCAAAGAGAAAGATCAGGGAATCATGTTCCTCTGGTTTGAACAAAAAAAGAAATCCAGATGTCCGCTGCTTATTGAGTCATTGTTGGACCATTTCACTCTTTTCAGGTTTTAGGCTTTTCTTCCAACATATGGGCTTTTATGACACGACTTAATACAAAACAAAACAAATCAACAAATCGGCACGGCACGACTCAACGCACTTCAAAGTCGGACATTTGACGGCACAGACTTCAGAGACGTGTTGTAGGTGTGAGAGGAACCAGGGCGTTCTGTTCTGTGTGTCTATCTCCCCCTCGTGCGATAAGAGCCGGGACGTCTTTGTTTTAAATCAGTCACTGCTGTCGCTGATGTGCTCTGTGATGGGAGAGCTGCCAAAATCTGTCCGGTGATCTGGCGGCGTGACTGCTAGAATGACTGAGATCAGGTTATAATGTCAAACATCATCAGCATCTGAAGTTCAGTGTCTATGTGACCCCGTCTATTTCCCGTCTCTGTGATCAGCGCAGATCCTCAGCAGAGGCTCTCCTTCCTCTCTCCAAACACAATCAGCCACATGGAAACAGCTAATCACCATCCCCAGCAGATACTTCTATCTCAAACTCTTGACCGTGTGGTGCCGCTGACCCACATAGGTTGTGGGTCAAGCTGTCACTTTCCATGCGGCCCTGTCAGACAGATAGATGGAGCTTTAGTGTGTCGATAGTCACAGAACAACACAGCTCAGGTCAACAGTGCAGCGCTGATAGCTGCGCACGTTTTATCAAGGTCACATGTCACGTTGTATCTGTGTCGGTCTAACAGACCCTCAAACAGGTTTTCAGGAGCCGTCACGCAGCCCCGGGCGGCCGTGTAGGAGACCCTCCGCTCTTTGGAAACAAATTACAAACGAACAGCTGGTTGTGTTTCAGACTTGGCTGTCACAGTGGAACTAAATAGACGGGGCTGATTCCTGTGCCGTGTTTGACTGAGAACATTATTTCACCACTGATGCATCTGATGCACAGAGTCTGTGTTTAGATAAATTCAGCGTGTTTGGAAGCAAAACTGCAGCATCTGGTCGAAAAGCACAAAATGAAGGTGGATGTGATTACACGGAAAACCTGAAGCTGCTAAATGCTGCGCGATTCACAAGCTGGTTAGTTACTCAGTGTCCTGTTTCATGCTCAGTAGGCAAACAAAGCAAAACCAAAACAGCGAGCTTAAAGGTGCTAAAGTGGTAAAAAATAATAATAAAATATTAATTTACTGTGTGTGTGTCACTACAAACGACCCCCTTTAAATTACACAGTTATTTTATCTATTGATCATGTAAGAATGTAGATTACAGCTGTTTTAAAGAGACTGTCCTATGAGTTATTATGACCCATGGTTACGTTTTGTTGCTAGGAGACATCTAGTGGCTGTAGTATTTATGACAGGAGCGGAGGGAAAAGTGCGGTGACGTAGTATAAAGAGCGACAAAGTCCACGACAGGAAGAGGTTGTGGCGGATGGAGATACAGTGCGTGCTGCAGGTGCCCTTGTGCGTAGGAATACGGTAGGAAAGGGCTGTTTAACATCAAGATAAAGTGGTGAAATATTTCACAATAAAGCGTTCACTTAAACTGATATTAGCTTTTTCTTCCATGGGCTTATTTTTAAAAGTAGCTAAACACGTTTTTGCGGATGGCTCCATCCACAGCAGCTCTTCACTCAGCTCCTGAGCCGAACTGATCTGAATCCACTGCAGGTAACACGCTGACTATAGATAATCACCTCCCACAACCCCACGACAAATAACCCCAAATATCACTTTTAGCAGCTATTAGCTGGGTGAACCAAACTGCTACTCTGCACATAATAAAATGATTTGGCATCAATCACAGTGTTTTAGTGTCACATCATGAATGTGGGTGATTCACCCAATTTAAAAACAAAAACATTTCATCACTTCCTTTTAGTAGTAGTCAGTCATGCAGATAGTTTTCGTTTTATTTGAGACATGTGTCTCAGAGATTTTTGCCTCCAACCCACTACAAAGGAGGTACATGAATTTTTAATTTAAGAACAGCAACAACAATATGAACATTTCTTTCCACAAACAAAGTCCTGGTTTCCTTTGATAATCCACAGTGGATCCACTCTCCCAATGAAAACAGTTGGCAGTGTGTTGTGTGGATTATTTATAGTCACAGGGACAGAAAAGAGATGTAGCCGTTAATTATTGAATCTAATATTTTAATGCCGTGAGCAGCACAAATACTTTTTCATTTACATTCATTGTTTTGGATCGGAGGCACAAAATTTCACAGATGGACGAATAAAACAAGAACTAACGAAACTAAGACCTCGGTTTTGTTCCTGCCGGGCAGAAACTAAAACTATGACTGTATCTGTATGACACACACACAGATAGACACACACACTCGAAGAACAATATGCTGCTCTTTGCTGGTAGATAGCATGCTGTGCTCACTTGAGGAAATGGCTGGGAGTGTGTAAATGTGTGTGTGCGTGTGTGTGTGTGTGTGCCTGAGGTCACCATATAGGAATGCTGCTGGGGTGTGTGTGTGTGTGTGGTTGTGAATGGTCGGGGATTTGGGGGGTTGTCATTTCATAAAAGGGGCGCTGACACCTGGAGCAGAATAAGGAAAAAGTGTGGACTTCTGGAGAAAATATCATTATGTGTGAAAAGGTGAGGGAGGCAGAGGGGAGCAGTTGTATATCGCATGATGAGAAACGGCACGGAGGGACGGTGTAGCGAGGTGGAAACAGCTGGCTATCCAGCAGGAGGGGGGGGGGGGGACAAATTGCAGAAGGCCTGGCTGTGGGGAGGGGAGCTCCCCTGACTGAAGCACTCAGATCATCAGGCGTCCACTGTGGGTCAGAGGGGGAAACATGATCGTGGAGCTGCTCAGGCTCCTGTAAACTCTCTGGTATCTCGAGGTCTTATTTTCTGGCAGAACAAACCGGTGCACTCTTACCGTGGCACATCACTGACAAGGGACCTCAGAACATGATACACCCATCGCATTTGTGCACGCATGAACACACACTTTGGCTGAAAAACCACATGAGCAGGCACATAAACATGAAGTGATATCTGCGGGATATACCCTGCACTCGATGTACTGATATATTGTTTTTAAATCAAGATATCGGCTACACAGCTACTGCGAAGTGATGTCGGACCTCGAGCTGCTTCCTTGCCTTGACCAAAGTTCAAATATTGTATTTCTTCATTCGTGCTTTATCGATTTATCCTTTTTCTTCCTGTTTGTTTTGTGCCAAATGTGTGAATTTGAGATTGTTTCGTCGTGAGAGTGAGAGGGAAAGAAAACATCATTCCCTCCTTTGTTACTAAAGGTGAACAGGACCCACTGATAAAGACCACATCCGCATTGATTGGCATTATATCATAGCCAGGAAGCTAACAGGTGCAATGTTCTCCCATAGGTCAATACTGCTGCTTACAGCTACACAGTAAATATTTATACATTGAGTAGCTGTAAGTCTGAACCATTGAAAACCTGTGTAAATATACAGCTGCTCTAAAGTGACTCAGTGCTCATAGTAACTTCCATCTCCATCAGTCTGAGAGAACTGGTCCTAAACATCTTTATGATTCCAAGATTGAAAAGAAAAGCTCGTCTTAAACTTTCCATATAAAATAAAATTAGCATTAGCATCAGTAGCATTGCAGAGATATTGAGAAAATATCCCATTTTACTTCCTGCTTTTTTAGCGACAAGTGTCACTGTTTTTTGAGTATTTTATTCTTTGAGCTTTCTCACAGTACTGCCAGCATACATAAAGACTCTTGGATTGATACTTGACATCAGACCTAAAAACTGGACCTGTGCTAAGAGTCCAGGTCTGGATGAAACCCTGTATCCTTGTAAATTAGGGATCAAATTTAAACAGATCACCACCTCAGCCTATCAGCTGGTGGCACCTTCACAAACCCAGACTCTGTACCACACCACAAGTCACGTTTGGCTTTATTGGCAGACACGTGTGCGTTAGAGTGTTTGCTCCCGACTGATAAGTGGCTAAAAGTGGGAACCATCATGTCACGATGACACTAAAATAAACCGAGCTGAGCTGTGAGGAGCCGTGGACGGACATACAGGACGTGAGTTTACATTTATGGTCGACTTCTACAAAGTAAATCAGACAGACGCTGAAGCTGGTTGGGGGTTGGACCAGTTGCTTAGTCTGGTTCAATATTAGCAGCTGTCACACACACTCACATGCAAAGTCCCTCTCCCATAACAGCCTCATAATAGAGTGACAGAAATGTAATCAGCCAAAAGCTTCCTTTTCTTCCTTCGAGCGTGTCACTACATCAACAATAAAATGTCTGGATGAAATTAGTGAAACTGAGCAGAAAATGTGGGTCAGTCTTCAGATGGGAGCAAAGACACAGGGGGAGGAAGAGGAGGGAGATAAAGATGAAGAAGAAGGAAAAGAAGGAGTTTTTACAACACTTCCTGTGTCCTTGGACAAATGTCCCATCCCCGCTGAGTCTCTGCAGATTCACCTTCATTGCCCGAATACAATCCTGGCAACAGGTCCACTGGTGAGAAAACACTCCTCACCACCAGGGAAAGACGAATCAAAGCTTAACTTAAACAGCTGTTGGATAACTTTACATCTGGATTTAGAAGTAATGGCAGG